TGTACATGTGTATCTTTAAAACTGTGACCTCTAGTTGTGATGTTGCTGGTTTAGAAGAAAATTTAGAATATTTCTTATGAATTTGATTTTTAATTATTGAATTGAAACACTTTTCAAAAGCAAACTAAAATACTTGATATTAAACAAAATTGTTAATTCAAATGTTTGAAATATACAAAATTAAACATTATCATAATATGATGTGGGAATAATATAAATATACAATGTACGTATGATGTTGATGTATACAATTCTAATTAGTAATTGTAATGACATACAAATGACAATCCAATTAATAAAAAAAAGTGTTCAGCTTAAGCAAATAGAATCAAATTAATTATTGAATCGTTTTAAATAGTAAAACATGAGTTAACTTCTTTCCACTATAATCAATTATTGTTTTTCCTTATTTTTTTTCTTTATAACATTATATTTTTCTTATATACATTAAAATATTTCCTGGTATACCGTATTAACTAAGGCGCTAACTGAAAGTTATATTTAATCCATAAAAAGTTCCAGAAAAAAAAATATTACGATATGATTACAATTGAATACTAATTACAAGTGCAAATAAGTTTTTCACCATGACTAATACAAATAATTATCGTCCATAACTATCCTTACTTCATGATTTTATATAATTTTACAGAATTTTGTTATTTTATAATTTTGTGTACTTTGATGTTTTAAAGTCCTATATAATTTTATGTAACAATCTCGTTTATATTTTATTTTTTATAACTGACACTATAACTTTTAAACAAAAAATTATTTGTCTGTATTAAAAAATTCGTTGCATCACTTTACGTAAGAAAACTAAGAATATACATTACATATGTGCTATCTATTTGTACAATAATAAATCTTTGTTAGTATTGACTTAGTATCAACTTGTACTGTATCAATATCACTGACATTAGTTTTTTTTTTTAAATAATCATTTGTCTACATTCACACCCATTTGTGAAAACGCGTTACGACGCACAAAACCAATGTATGAAAATTACCTGAATTTGCCGAGTGTATCAAGATTATGGACACAAGATTATATCTTTGTACCAGAGATCAAACATTTTTATGAAAAATATCAGCAACAGAAACTCGTCCATTATTATTTACAGATATTAATCAGAAAATGTAAAGAAAATATGCCAGGAAACTTTTTACTGTCCACACGACAATTTGTATCGATCTTTCGGCAACTTAGAAACAGACGATTTGTTCTTTCCGTAAGTTATAAAAATAATAATTTCAGCCATTTAAATTAAATTTTTTTTCATTTAAAAAAATTAATATATTCACGAGAAAATTGCATTCTTTATGTTTTTGTGTTAAGAAGAGAAGGAATCGTTAACTCAATCTTCATCGTTCAAGTTGTAGAATAGGTCTGACATTTCGAATATTAGTTGTAACGCAAACTTCTACAGCAATTTGCCGAGCTGCATCTTTAAAATTGCAAGCAATCCGGAAAATGGTCCGTCTTTCACGACCTGTTATTGCACGTGGCCGTTCAGTCTCCTGCTGTTCTTTTTCCTAATAAGTACTAATTGGGATACTTTTTTACTCATTACTTTATGATTTTCATTTACTAATTTAGCAATATTTTTGCAGTAGAATATTTTTCGTTTCTTAGTAATAAAATACAGTTTATTTCAAACTAATGATAGCTCTTCTTTGCTGACATAATTGAACAGATATATTTATATATACATATAAATGTATTATTAATTTTGTTATTATTATTATTCAGTCATTAATTTTGTCTGAATTTTCCTCGTCGATAACCATTACGAGCAACCGTATATAGAGTTTCCAATAACTGTTACGAATAACCGAAATAATTATCAATAATGGTAATAGGTAACGAAATGGTTTTTTATCGAAAATTATTTGTATTTGAACAAAATAATTGTCTCGATTCTTTGTCTTATCATAGTCATGACCTCCATTTATGCACGTGTTCGAGTCTAAGAGTAATAGTGTATAATGTTGTATGTATATATTAAAAAATAATAGCGTTTGTTAATTGGTAATTCTTTTATTCTTGTGGTTTTTCGTTTGATCCTACAATTTAGAAAGAATATAATGAAGTGGTCATACTCATACACCTGTTTCAAAGTCTCAACTATAACGTAACTAATACCAATGCAGGCGTATGGTGGCATGCCGGAGATTCAGGCTACTAAAAGAAATCAATGCGCGCGCAGATCAGCTCATTGTTTGACGGAATAAAAGATGACTACGTTTTGTTTGTGTAGGACTATAAGTACAGAAAATACATATGGAAAACTATGTGTAGGTTGATAATGAACAGCGCCATCACATGTTTATTTCTCATATTTTCCACTTTTGCAACAAATTCACTTTCATTTAATTGAATTTCTCTTTCATTCGAAGAAAGAACAAATTTTTGAAAGAATTTCAAATTCTTCGCCGTGAATTTAATTAACCTATCTTTCGCGTAAATGAAAGTTAACGGTTGTTACGAAGGGCAGATCGAAAATAGAAAGCGGAAGTGAAATTAATTTAAAAATAGGAAAGATTACGTCCAATTGAAACGAATAATGATCGCAAAAGCTAAGAATCAACTATTAACTAATATTAATTTCAAGCAGCCAGTTTTATCTCTAATACGTAACAAGCTTTGAATTCAAATTCCAAGGCGCATTAAGGTTCGCGCATGGCATGATGTTTACGCGTACTATGTACTTACTATGTCAGCTTTCTCTGTCACTTCTTTTAATTTTAATATGTTCCAAATCCAGAAGAATTACGTATACGTATGATCAATATCGATCGCACACGAATTTCACAAAAAGTGAACACAATTCATTTAACACAGGTTTAAATTATTTTGAATTGTGGTATTTTTTAAATACCACACGTGCAATGTAAAAAAAAGAAGAATAAAAATCAATAGAATCAGGACAAATAGAAATTAAAATTAAGATCAATCGACAATAAAGAAAGATATCACAAACGTTAACATCAGGATACTCATTTCTCTGTTCTAATTGAATAGTAATTGTAACAAGCGATATGTTTATTTTGTTAACTCAGTTGCTCAAATTCTATCATTCATTCATTTGTTCAAGCCTAAGTTTATTTATATCTTATTTTTCACATTTATCATTTTAATTATATTATTTAATTTGATCTAGGATAGAAGGCTTGCGGATTATTAGATGTTAAATGTAACGAATAACAAATGTATAAATGCTTGATGTACAAGTACATGTGTATACCTAGCAGATTGACTCAGAAATCTTTATGAAAGTCGCCTCAAAAAATCATGGATCACATAAACATTTGTAAATGAATGCAAAAGTCAGTAAAACTAAAAATTAAAGAAGTTGGCGAAATAAAAGTTAATAAAAAAATGTAACACTGATGTAAAAAATATAAATAAAGAGTAGTAAGTAAAAATTAATATCGTTATATGTGAAATATGAGTCAAATTATGTGGTGGATACAAACTTTGAGAAATTATTTGCGTCTTGATACAAAAAGAATCTCGAACAATTTATTAGCAACACCAGGAAAATGCAAATATACTAGAAAGTGACATTCAACGCTCGTAATGTTAAAATTTTATAATATAAACGAACAAGTAACTATGTCGTACATGGACGTTTTCAAAGTTAATTTACAGCGGAAATAAAGGATATAAATCGAAATAATATAAAAATTCATATTACGCACGTAATACAGTGATACGTAAAAATACCATAATAAGGGATTAAGCGCGTTTTAAACAACAATACATGCCGTGCAAAAATCTTAAAATTCGAAATTTCATCAATCCAAATAAATAATTTATAAGGCGTGAGTTGCTCAAGTGCTAAAATAATCTACGTTTAAAAGTGAAAAAAGAAACTGAGATAAAAATTTTTTTCGTTGACGATAAAACATTGGTAAAACGATGAAATTAAATATTTATCACTGAACTTTAATATTATTCAATATTTGTTCATTATCTACAAGAATGTAGTAATCATATCAAAGTATTGCAATTTTTTAATTGCAAAATATAAGAAACTAAAACTAATAAAAATTTGGTAAAAAGATTGAAATAGAAATAAAGCTTAAGGATGAGGAATTTTTACAGAAATAATTTATAGCTCTTCAATCCTATACTTGTTTTAATGATGCAAATACCCGCCGCTTACGCGGAAAATGTTTTCCTTGAAACTGATGTTGATAGCACGGGAATTTCGAAATTCCACGAACTTCAACGAACTCTAACAAAATTCTGTTAATAAAAAAATGTTAGAAAAAAAAATTATATTTACAAGATGTGTTAACTTTATAATATATTCTTAAGAATTTTCTCACATATAATATGATTGCATTTACATGTCAACATCGAACGCCAATATTGGTCAAGATTCTTTGCAAATCCTTCGAAAATTACCATAAATCATTCAATTAGGATTTTTATGAATTTCCTTTAAATCGCAAAATTTATCGTAAAAAATTATAAGGAAAGATGAAATGAAACCATGCAAAAATTTTAATTAATAACTGTAAGTACAGTGTCGACTTGAAATACAATAAAATTTATTTGGTTTTCGAAAGCTCCGAAGCTCGGAAGTTCGAAAGAACACAAGCCTGAAATTGTTAAATCATAATTGCTATAAGATGAAAAGGTATTGCGAGATAAGATAAAACATCGAACGACGTTTCGTTGTATCCCATGCCATTAGCAACAAAAATTTCGATACAATACTATGATACAAAACTTACGCAGGTACAATCCATTTGATATATCAGATGAGAGTCAAGAACGAGTAAAAACGTGAAAAACAGTGAAACAAATAGACGGTATTCAGTGGATTTGAACTTTCACAACTGATTTCAGTTCAGTAAAGTTGAAATTAAGAACGGGAAACTTTTGCACGGAAAGATTGACATAAATTTTGTGGAAATACAGAAAACACCGGAAACGAACGGTAAAGGAAATTGTCAAAAAAAAGGTGAGAATTGAGAATACGTACCATAAATTGGGCCGAAGAAGCGATGGTTTGAGAACAAGTTGATGGAGGAAGGAGCACAAGGTGGATCACAAAGGATCGTTTGAGATCCAGAATTTTATTTGTGCACACCGAAAGACAAAGATTCACACTAATAAGCGGACAGTCGCGACTGCCTGCTTTAAGTAGGCATATTCGTTGAAGACAACGAAACAAGGCTGACTTTCAGTGATAGTAGTTTTCACGCACGCTGCCGGCCCAGCAAGATTAAAATGGTAGAATACCGCAAGGCGCCATCTTTAGTAGATGGCACGCAAGCGCCGTTTCTACCGCGCTTCTGTCCTATATAATCCGATTATTGAAAAGTACAACTTGAAAATATTACCAGACGTCAGATTGTAGGATAAATTGATATCATTATTACAAATTGAAAATGAACTTACACGCATAAATTCGACTTTCTTCCTAAAAATGAAAAAAAACTTAAAATTGCGTCCTTACTTAGTTTTGGTTTTTACAAAATCTTTTTCTAGCAAACTAAATTTTTGCAATTCAATCATTTTGCAATTCGATTAGTCTCTACTTTATAATTTATATAATATTTACCATTATTCTCTACAACATTATGTCAGTTATTCTTTATGAAACAGTCTACTTTCTAAATTGAAAAAGTACGAATATTTGTCATAAGCAGTAACTAAGTAAGGAAGACCACCTACATATATATTTCCAGAAAGATTAATTAATTTGTTCTGATAAAATATTATTTATTAAATTTTTTAAGTAAATGCGTGTTTATTTAAACAAATTGTAAAGATATATATTTACAACGGAAATATTTTTATTCGTATTATTTATAAAAGTTTATGCAAGTTTCTTATCTTGTAATTTGAAATGTGGAGCATTGTAGCGAAAACACGTATTTCTCAAGCTAACCTATTTTGTCATTTGATAAATTACAGGTGTAATTACGAATAAAATATAATAAAAAAATTATTATATTGTACAGAATAATATTTTAAATAATTTTAATATTTTACAATATAAAGATTTGTGTAATTTATGAATAATAAAATATGAAACGGTTAACAGAAGAGAAGACGAAACTTGTTTTAGAAAAATTAACAAAGTAGTAAGTTCTAAAAGTCAGTTTCTCGAAAACTGTTCATTAAAATTTAAAATTGTAAAAAATATATTCCATATTATAGTTTACATATATGATGTAAACTATAGATTGTAAATATAGATTGTGAATAATTTTTTAATGTATGTAATAATAACTTAATAGCTGATCTATTAAAAACTTATTTGCAGCATTGGAACCAATGTAAAATTATTACTTGATCGACCAGATGGTGTCTATTGTTTTCGAGAAAGAAAAGGCAGAGTATATTATGTTTCTGAAAAGATCTTATCATTAGCAAGTGTGGTAAATCCAGATAAACTGGCAAGTATTGGAACATGTTTTGGGAAATTTACAAAATCTGGGAAATTTAGACTACATATTACTGCATTATATCATTTAGCTCCTTATGCACAGGTAATTATTATAAATATTATTTTTATTATGATGTCGATTTCTTACTAAATGTAATTTTTACATTTATTACAAGAAAATATAATGTACTTCTACATTATATTTTTCATATTGTTTCAAATGATTAATTTCATTAATCTGTATATTAATATCAACTAAAAAACCTGTATAAACTATATTTCTTTCTAGCATAAAATTTGGGTGAAACCATCAGCTGAACAACAGTTTATCTATGGACATCACATTTCCAAGTCTGGTTTAAGTCGAATTACAGAAAATACTCCTCAATATCAAGGAGTTGTTATTTTTTCCACAAACAATATTCCACTGGTAATTGGGGGATTTTATTAATATTGTTAGCTCCAAATAATTTTCTCTTTTTCTTTTATTGATAATATAATAATGGATTATTTAATACAACAATTGATTTATAGAAGAATATAAGTATTAATTTAATTACCAAACTTACCTTTTTAGGGATTTGGTGTCACAGCCAAAAGTACAATGGATTGCAAATATGCAGATCCAATGGCAACAATATGTTTTCATCAAGCTGACGTAGGAGAATATATTCGATCAGAAGATTCTTTAATATAAAAATATCTTATAAAGACATTATATTTAATTTTGCTAAATAAATAAATATATTTAAAAAGTATCAACAGTAAATATAGTCTTAAAATTAAATATAAATTTCGATATAAGTTTCAGTAAAAATTATTTATTTTATAACCAGCGTACAACATGATAAGTCTTCTTTCCAACTCTAAGTAATGATATATTATTACTTAATATATGTATTCCAGGTACAACGACTTCTGACAAATTTGTAACTTTTTGGTTATTAATGTAAAAACCACCAGCTGTGATGATTCTCCTTGCATCATGATCTGTTTTAAAACAGTTTGCTTTCATAGCTAAATCGTAAATATTGATGCCTGGTTCGGAAAGAAGTTCTACTACAGTAGCACCCTCTAATATTTGTAGTATATCATTCACTTGCATTCTTGCTAAGGAATCAATAGATTTGTCATAAAGAACAGCAGATGCCCTCTTTGCTGCAATTAATCCCTCTTCTGCAACAAAATGTGTTTAATTTGAAGTTTTTATTACTTAAATTTGAATTTTTAATCTTGATCAATTGAAGAAATTGTTCACTTACCCCCATGAACCAATAGTGTAACTTTCTCAGCTAGAATTTTCTGCGCTATTCTCAGTTCTGGTTTCTTAAAATGCTCTTCTATAATTTTTTTAATTTTATGTGTAGACAGAAATGTAAAAAAATGAAGAAATTTTTCTACATTTGCATCTTCTACTCTAATAAAGTACTGGTATAATTGAAAATAAGAAGATCTTGCAGAGGAGAGCCAAACTGCATTGCCTATAGATTTTCCAAATTTTTTCCCACCTTCAGCTGTGATTAATGGTAATGTCAATCCATAAACTTGCGTTTTGGTATATCTAGTGATTAAATCATAACCAGATATTATATTCCCCATTTGATCTTGACCACCAACTTGAAACAAGCAATTATATTTACGCTGTAATTGAAGCCAATCGTATGCTTGAAGAAGTGGATAAGTAAATTCTGTGAAACTCATTCCACTTTTAGATTCTAATCTATCTCGTACAGATGTACGACCAAGCATAGTACCCATTCGAAAATATTTTCCAATATCGGTAATGAATGGAAGTAGATTCATATCTTTATACCATTCTATGTTATTCAAAATTTTTATAGGAGTCAAACGTTGATGGTTTTTACAGAAATATTCTGCGTGATTCTTAATAATGTTCACAATATTATCCTTTATAGATTCTACATTTTGTGCGAGTATAACCTGTTCCATTTCAGCCCGTTCAGTTTCTCTAAAACTTGGATCACCAATTAAGCCTGTTGCACCACCTAATAGGATAATCACTTGATGGCCACAACGTTGCCAATATAAAAGATTCATAAGAATTAACAAATGGCCTATATGTAAACTGTCTGCAGTTGGATCGAATCCAGCATATACACATTGTGGACTTCTCCACAATTTCTTTATATCCTCTCTAAAATGTTAATTTACTTTTTAAAATTGGGTTGCTTTTAGAAGTAAAAATAAAATATTTAATAAACATTGTATAAAGATTCAAAAAAGATGTTAATAATATTACCTTAATATACTTACTTGTAAATAATGGGGAAAATATCGTCGTACAATTGTCTATTTTCAGCATCTAATACATGATTTGCTGAATATCGGCGAAAATTAGAATACTTAGTAAGAGAACGTAGCCTCAGTATGTTATTCATCTTTAATTGTTATTGATAACATAAAGAAAAACAAATCTTTATTCTAATATCACTTGTCTTTATATAGCATTTTAATTATAAAACTTTTATTAAATTGAGTAATTTGCAAATCTTCACACATGTATTTTATAGAAATTGAAAGAACTATGAACATAAAATTATAAAAGTTCAAACACTAGTTTATTTAATCTAAAATCTTAAATAGTTTTGCAAGTGAAAATTTGATAAAACTAACCTCTTCATAATATAATTAGGAAAACAAATTTTATCGATCTGAAAACCGAATTTCTAAACTCTCCAGTAATTAAATTAAAATTTTAACTCAGAAACACACTTTGCAAAATAGTATACCGATTTGTTATGAAATTAATTAATTATATATATTAAATGCGAATTCGCCGGGTTTTTCATTGTGGCGCCATCTAGCGTCAAACTATTGGTACTAATAAAATTTAAAAATGCTTATTTGGGCATTTTAGAGATCAAATAGGGCGTGAAAAGAAAGCTGGGAGTCTAATTAAGAAGGTACAATTGCAAAAGTTCACAAATTAATCCCCTAAATTAGTTTATTTGGTAATTGAAAATTTGTTCGATTTATGGACATTGAAATGCTAGCGCCGCGTAGCGGTGAAATGGTGGAACTAATCGCTATCTCTGTCCTTGTCACACAATATTGCGTTCTTTCTCTAGTTGGTGCTGCCATCTGAGTCAGTTTATTTTTCATTAGAACTAAAAGGGTGAATTGGAAAAATCCGGTAGATGGCAGCACTTGTTCGTAGACAGGGAGAGCAACAGTGTGCGACAAGGACAGAAATATGTTTGCGCGTCAGACAAGGAGAGAGATACTGTGCGACAAGGACAGAAATATTTCTGCGCGTCAGACAAGGAGGGAGATATTATGCGACAAGGACAGATATATGCGTGCGCCTGATAAAGAGAGACATATTGCGCGACAAAGACAGATAATTATGCGCGCGTCAGACAAAGAGAGAGATATTGTGCGACAAGGAAAACAACATATTTTAGTTCCACAGTTTCACCGCTACGCGGCGCTAGCATTTCAATGTCCATAAATTTTAATTTGCAAAAAAGAAACTAATTAAGAGGATGAATTTGTAAATTTTGAGTCATAATTCATTATCTCAATAATTTTAAAGAATATTCCTCAAAAATAATTTTTGAACTTCAACAATTCGTCATATAAATATATTAATGATAAGTAGAAATTTGTTCAAGCATTTCAATGCACCGCGGCTCTTTTAGTTTTAGAGAAAGTAAAATATAAATAGTTGATAAAAATTTGCGAATCGTTGTATTCGTGAAAGGAAAAAAAATTAGGAAAACAGCGTTACGGTATTAAGAGTTTTATTTCTTGCACCATTCACAGCGCAGCTTACAGTCCTGACTCCTTTAGATTTTAGATCATCCTTCGCCCCTGTTCTCGTCTCGTTGGTTTAGAATTCATTCGAATCTACGAAAATCGTTTAAATTGATAATTGTCTTCTTCGTTTGGCAGCATTGGTGGTAGGAGAAATGAAATTTTAGAAATCTCCTGTTCCTCTAGACTTATCTCGAATTAACAAATATCAGATGCATGCTCATTCGTTTATATGTACATAATAACATAATTACATATGCGCAAGTACATATGGTAAAACATGTACTTGCATAGCGCTATATTACATACATATATAGAACGTAAATTACGTTTCATTAATGACATAATCAAAGTAACATAAAAAAAAGAACACTAGCGATAAGTAATTAAAAACAATTCATAACTCGTAACTTTGCATACAATATCACGTTGTTTTCGCATGATATCACGTGTTTATTATAATGTATTCCGAACTCGTATTTCACGAGTTCCATGTATTCATATAAAGTTTGCTTTTACCATAATTTGCAAAAGAATTATTTGCTTGTAAACAATGTGTTATTATTTGCTTGTAAACAATGTGTTATTGGCTTTATTAATTCGAGATTAGACTAAAGGTATACATATATACACGCATGTACACGCATCTCACACACACACACACACACACACACACATAACACATGTATGCATACGTACGTACATTCATTCACATCTCATTAAATATAAGTTATCGTAACATTCATTTATCAGTAACATGAGAAAAAAAATACGCTGACAATTGCTGATCATTCGGTTGCAATTAACATATGTATCGTGACAGTGATAATACAATAAAACAAAAAAAAAAAAAAAATTTAATGAATAAATTTCGTGTAAATGCTATTCTTTTGCAATTGAGTATTCCAATGCAATTCTTTCGTTTGGGTTTAAAACTGTTGTAAATGAAAGTGTTAATATGACTATTGCCTAATTAGAAGAATTTAGAAAATTTACAATTATTTGTGACTAAAAGATTAGTTCTTATTTATGTAGAATATGAATTGGGTAGCAATTAAAAGTAACTAATTAGAATAAAAATTGTAATTACATCAATATGTAATTTTTTTTATAGGATTAATAATAAAACAATTATACTGTCATATGTTTAGTAAGATATTCTACACATTATACATTGCTTCATAAAGGATGGTATATTCCAAAGATATAAAATTCTTGCATGAAAAATAAAATGACGTTTAAAATATTTCTGTGGTCGAACATATCTTCGTCTTAATTATTATAATTCTGTATATAAATACTTACGATAGGCAAACAATTTCTATACACATATACATATACGTAAACTAAAAATTGTCTGTTAAGATAAGAGTTATCAAAAGAAAAAAAAATTAGAATTACTAACATGAATTGTCTTATTTCAATTCAATCCTTGTTATAATAGAAATGATATAAGTATACTACTACCATTTTAAAGAGTTCGATTTAAGAAAAGACTAAAGTTCATCTTATTTTGGGCGTATGAATTTCTTTTCTTTTGGATACACCATACCTTATGAAATACTCTGCGTGTATATATATTGCTTTATATTATGTAGATGTTAAGTCATAATTCGTAATTTATTGTGAAACTTTTGTTTGAGATGCGCCAAAAATACGATAATCATTTCGACTAAAATAGAAAATGTTTCGTAGCATATTTTAGCAGCTGATTGCTATGAAAGGAACGTTACAATGAAAATGTACAAGTAGCAGAAGATGATTCATTAGAAATTAAATTTCACAAAATATATAGATTTCACACAATAACGAAGGAAATTCAATACAATTATTTGAACAAATTTATAAAATAACTAAATGATTCGAAATTAAAAATGTAGTAAAATCAAATAAATAAAAATTTTTGGGACTGGAAAATAAAAAAAAAGCAAAATTTGCTGAAGTTCACTTAGTCAATGAGCGCAAAAAGATACTGCAACTAATAAGAGTAATAATAATTACTATAATAGCAATAAAATAATAATAATAACTACAAGTAAATTATATTTAAATGCTTTAACATTTCTTAAAACAAAAATAACATTCATTTTTATAAATATACGTACATACATGTATATGTGTATATAATTACCCATATACGTACATATACAGGCTGTTTCGTAACTTGTGGGACCCATTTCGGGAGCTGATTGTACGCCTAAAAATAATGAAAAAAAGTCGTATAAATATATGTCCTATCTGTCTTCGTTTATGAGATATAATGAATTTCCTGTTTATTTTTACAAAAGATGCTCGAAATGATCACCTTGCATTTGAAGACAAGCCTGCACGTGTCTTGTCATTGATCTGCTTTACTCTTTATCATTGCTGGTGTTTCTCGAATTTGTCGGAAGCCTTGCTCTATTCTGTTTCGTAGTATTTCAGCATTTTGAGCATCTTTTGTAAAAGTAATTAAAACAGAAAATTCATTATAGCTCATACATTATATCTCAACAAAGACAGATAGGACATATATTTATATGACTTTTTTTTATTATTTTTAGGCGTACATACAATCAGCTCCCGAAGTGGGTCCCACAAGTTACGAAACACCTTGTATATGTACATATACACATAAATTTGTGTATATATTATATATATGTATATATACATGTATGTATATATACATATATAAATTGTATTTATATGTATAAAATCACATATATATATATGATTTTATACATATATATATATATGATTTTTTGTATTTCTAAATGTTTCATTCTAATTAATCGATTAATAATCGTTTTCCAAGAGGTTCGTATTTTTTGAACACAGTTCACGATTGCTAAACACTTTCACTGCAATTAACAATGACTTTTATGTGTTACGATTTGTTTCCTTCTCTTTGTGTACTCATTTTCTCCAAAATAAATTCTTCTATCATTATTTCACTTGAGTTTTAAGATGTTGCAAGAATTCATAATAACTCAAAGAATTCTCAAAACGATCTTCAACTAATCGCTCAACAAAAAGTGTCCTAAAGTGACTGTCATCCCTGAAAATTAAAAATTAACAATTCTAAATATATTCTGTTTGGTATAATTATATGAATTAAGAGATATTACAAGTATTAAAAAAAAAATTGAATATTTTCCAATATTAGTTCCCAAATATATGGATACGCATTATTAAGAATATAGGAACAAGTTAAAAAATATATCAATATTTCAATTATTTTAAAGTACATGTTTTAAAGATACGAGGAAGAAGAAACTTACCGAATAATTTGTACAGAAGCTGGATAGGGTTTCTCTTCTTGCAAACTAAATATGAAATTTCGTAACCTTTCATTTTCTGCTGTCTCAATCTCTGGTAACTCATACTGGAAAGAAAGATATTTTTCTTTTACACGAATTATTTAATTTTTTTAGAATTATAAATTTTAATAATCTTACAAATATTTTCTGTGTTAAATAATATATAAAATTATAAGTTCTAATATGAACTTAATTTCATTTATGATTAATACAACTAAATAAATTAAATATCAAATTATAAATCAATTACCTAAAATATCAAATTATTAATCAATTACTTAAGCATGAACTTACGAGTTCTTCTGGTATCGAGGGAAAGGCAGAAACTCCAAGTACATTACAACAAAATAACGGATGAATATTTTTGCCGATTAAAATAAATATTCGATCACCAGTGTCCATCAAGAAAGCACCCCTAGAGTCAAGCTTTTCTGCAGAAAGATGCAGTCTAGGTGGTTGTGGGCATAATTTTCCATCGATATCTTTTGCATTTCGATCTTCAAGCGCATGAACAGGATAAAGATCTGGATAAATCATCTGAATCAATTGAAACAGTGGTAAAGTTTTCAACTGACACATTGCAAATATCCGGTCGTCAAGTCTCGTATTTGTTCCTGATCTGAAGGCAACCTGAAAAATTTTTATTTGACTATTAACAAAATAAGTATTATAAGTCACAAATTTGAAATTCTTTCGTAAAACATATAAAACATATAAAGGATATTAGTAAAAAACAGCTTGCAACAGCAAGTTATATATATATAATGTACAAAAAAATATACTTATATGAGTGATGCAAAAAATTTAGTTCTTTAGCCAACACTTACACATTTGAGCAAAGCAATAATATAGAGAGGCAGTAGTTTTAAGCTTGCTGGAGCAAGAAGTCCACCAGAAATCGCTGATTGAGACAATTTATAGGCTGATAAAACGTCTATGGCGACATTTATCAAAGCATCTCTTGCATCAGATAGAGAAGATTGCTGAGATCTGTCTACAGCTATAAAAGTTTAAAAAAAATTGAATATACAATAATACAGTTAAAATGTAAATAACAAAATTATAACACACTTGGAAATATACTTTCTCTTGCATAAAAACTTTGCAGTGAAATATTAAAACTTAATCGATTTTTTATTATTAAAGAAAGTACAAATAATGTTAAGAAAAATATCTTACCCATTTTTGAAAGTAGGCCTACTATACATTGTTGATCAGCGGAATGAAGGACATCGGATAAAGTAGATACTACTGGTAGACACAATGTGTGCACCCTAATTCTTCTTTCACCTAAATTTTGTTTTTAATTTTGTCATTTTATTTACTAAGAGCGGTTTTAATATAACAAAATTTTCTTTAACAAATGTTCTTAAAGATCATATAGAAAATATCTTTCAATGCGATATCTTTGCGATAACAAAACTCTTTAAAAATAATAGTACATAGACATATTTACCTTTGCTTGACGTATAAAGTAAAGCTGCCTGGAAACAGACGTTCTGTACATCCGAAAGATTTTCTTCTATAGAGATTTGCATTCCAAAACCAGCATCTGGATTGACATTAGGCAAACTAAGGAGATCAGTAGATCTTACAAAGAAATTCCCGTGAAAAGTGTGAATGCTCAGTCCTCTTGTACATCGTATTCTCATTACTGCTTCAAAGCCGATCTTTCTAGTAAGATAACGTCTCAGTATTTTATCGAGAGTTTCTGCGTGCTGCGGTTTCGACCCACGGAATAAAGGAAGATGGTATATACAACCTCCGGAGAATTTACACATACCCGCTATAAAGTAAAATTTCTATTTATTATTCTACTTTTTCATAATTAACTGTAATTATTTTCAACAATTTATAATAAAAGAAAAAAAGAATTATGTATAGTAATAAAAAATTAGGGAGTAATAAAGAGAATAATTTAAACAAATACATACAAAGAGTAGCTAGGTCACAGTATTGACAGTTTAATAGAAATAGATCAACTGCGATTTGTTGTCCACTGCAATCTAGCGCTAATCTTTTATAAAAATCTGTAACTGGATTTAAATGCGGTACGTCTTTACCCCCTCTGCTATTTGGATCCTCTCTTGCTTGCAATAAACCTGGACCTATATTTGGCAAGCAAGTTTGGAAGACAGTCACACGTCCACCAGTTGGTGACTAAAATAAAAGAAAATAAAAAACATTTTACTTACTGTTTTATACATTCTTTATAATGTAATAATTAAAACACGTACCATAAGTTTATATGCAGCTTGCAACGCCGCACCCAAAGCACTATTTGTATCATGAGTTCCTTGAAATTTCATAGGTAATTGAACCAATAAATCTCTTACTAATTCTTCTCGTTCTTTTAAATTGACAATTAAGTTTTCCGGACATGGAAGAAATACATCTGCATAAAGATTAGACAATTAGTAATTAAATATAATAGTTAAATATGTGTAAACTTTAATATATAAAATAAGTATGATTTTACCATCAATGTCAAGCATGATTATTTCCTGAGGTTGTGACACATTGTCAGGTATGCCAAAAAAGTGTATTGCAGAATCTACTGCTAGAAATCCAATTTGCGTTCTACCATCACCTGGTAGCCTTGATAATTCTTCTGAAATTACGTTGCACACTATGTTCAAATAACCGCTCTCTACTGCTAGTCTCGAAACATCCAAAACAAACAGATATACAGCTGGCTGTGGTGGACGTAGCTTAAACATATTTATTTTTTTAAATTTTACATTACCTCCAACTTCTCGTTTCAAATTTAATTTTGCGAATCATTCAATAACAGCTATGAAATATATATTGAAAGAAAAAAATTTTATAAAATTCCTTTAAATTTTTGTATATTATTTTTACAAAAATATCAACAAACAATAATAAACGAATATGAACAATTTAAATACTGACATTTTAATTGGTATGGACTATGTATTAAAATTTCAAATTTCTTACCATATATTCACCAGGTGCGATAAACTCAATTGTACTAGTTTTTACTTCTGGTCTTCTTGATGGATCTCCATATGATTTTGTTACAGGATCAAACTGAAATTCGTCTGGCACTATAAAAATAATATAAAGATTAATATAAAGATATATAAAGATTAAAATATGATAATTATGAAGGATAACCAAAATTATAAAAATTTATGCTTACATTCATTTACTCTATAGCAAAGATTACATTTCCATCTTTTTGAGTCATTGAAATATACAAATGGATTAATATACGTTCTGCAAGCACGACATCTAACTATAGTGCTGCATTGTATCACTGGTAAATGCTAAAAGTATAAAAGTAATTCATAGTAAATTCATATTTTAATATGTCGAATATGCAAATTAAAAAGAAAAGAGAAAGAAATTGTTTTACCTACATTTAAGTCTTTGAATGGATGTATTAAAACTCCTAAAGGCAATCTAGATTTCTGGAGTAAAGTATTTGACTCAGGAATCTTTGTTAACGTACAACGGAAAATCCTGAAAAATTTTAAAATCATTAAAAATGAAATTGAAGAATTATCCAACTTAATTCTAATAAATTAAATAATTAGTTATTTATTTTTCATTAACTAAATAATAAACTGAATAAATAATGATTTATTATTATTTACATTTAATAATTAAATTTATCTAATAATAGTTATACTTTAAGTAATTATTATCTGTTATAAATTTTAAATATTGTACTTACTCAGGACTACAATTAACACTATCAAAAAACTCTTGATGAAGTTTGATTTTTGGTAATTCTACTCTCTCCGTAGGTAGAACATTTCTACATTGTAAAAGATCAATACTCTCCATTCCCTAAAACAAATTAATAAGAATAACAATTAAAGGAATTTATTTGCTTCTAACTTATATAAAGTTTGATTATAAGGAATGTAATTATTTCAAAATGATAAATAATGCTATCATATAATACTTAAATTAATATTTTATGAAACATTTTTATATAAATAAGATAAATTATTATCCATTATATAAAATTGTTGGCAAAATATAAAACTGTAAAATTATCTTTTTTATATTATTTACCCATAATTTATTATAGCCAAGTTGTCCAACAGACAACATATTCATTTGATTATTTAAGTGATTCATTTGATCAGGATATGATTCTGGGTATCGCTTATTCATTGAATCTGGTGGTATATTCCCTGGTACATTTGACGGTTGATTAGGATACTGAAAGAAAGAATTGAACATTTTTTTTTAATTATAATTTTAGACAATCCTTACATTAATTATCATTATAAATAAATAATATATTTAACAATAAATCATAAGGATAACATTTTTGTAAAATTCTATACGCTTTTACGAAGAAAACAAGAACAATTTTATTTAATTTTAATTATTAAATTGAAAACATAGAAATCAAATTAGTACTTTCAATACTGTACAAATAATAATCTGTTATAATTATTCAAATTAAATAAACTGCTGGATAGGAATAAAAGGAATCATTTTTTATTATGATTTTTAATATTTAAAATGATAAAATCATTTGAAAATTATTCTACTATTTACCCATAATTTATTATAGCCATGATGTGGTGGTGACATCATATTCATTTGACTATTCACGTGATTTATTTGATCAGGATACGGTTCTGAATATTGTTTATTCACCGAGTCAGGTGGCATACTCATTGGATTTGGTGGCTGACTTGGATACTGAAAGAAAATGTATTAATTATAATTTTAGACACTACATACAAAGAAAAACAATATGAAATTACAATGGTACAAATCTTACAGGTAAAAAAAAAGAAATATATGAACTTAATGTACAGAAAACAAATAAAAATACCAAATATTTCTTATATCTTTTTATTTCATTGAAAACAATGCTCAAATAACATGTTTAAAATGTAATAACATTCAATAAAATTCAAATATAATATCTCTTAATAATTACTATAATTTAGTTTTTTAAAATTGAAAAACCAAATTTAGGAGGTATTTAAACATGAAATATAAACAATCGATACTTGAACGTTAATTTTCAGAAATCAAATGAGTTAACTGATTTTCCAAAAATTGATCATCCAGGGAAATTAAAAGGTTAAGACATCATGCCCAAACGGAGCTGTAAAGTCTAAACTTTTCTTCAGTTTCTTTAGCGCAGAAAGCGAGTTTCTGACTTTTCAGCAAAGTTACTATGGCAAATGTGAAGAAAAATTTAGATTTTGCTGTCACGTGAAACGTGCATCACACTTTGTTTTTTTACAGTGCAATTCACCATTACTTGCCGAAGCGACGTACGTACGTCGTCGACGTGACACATAACATTACGTGGCAGCTCTCCTGACAGAAGCGCCATTTTCGCTTTACGGAGTATTCGAGAACTGTATACTTTAAATCGTTCATGTATTTACAATCTCGTACGAATCGCTACCTTCTAATTTAATAATTTGTTACGCATTTATTTTCCACAGCTAATTATTTAACATAAAATAAAACCAAGCAATAGAACAATTGTGCTATTTCCTTCAAATTCTGATGAATTCCAAATACGATGTCAAAGCGCAAATATGTATGTCGATAATCCTATTTAAAGGTGCTCTTAAGCCAAGATTTAAGTAGTTCTATAAAACGATTATACATCTAACAGATCAATAAAAATTATACTATTACCAAATATAGTCTACATATTTTTTATTTATTTCATTACTGCACATAGTAGGTTGATTCTACGTGTACATAATATACGTGTAGTAAAATAATAACATATTATTATTTGGTTGCTAGTTACGATACAATCTACAATCCATCTTAATATCTTAGCTTAATAAAATCAATTTAATCAATCAAATGTTAAATCAATATACATCGCGCAAAAATGCCTATATTAATTTACAAGTTTGGTTTGCATCATCTTGCGTTCTATCATATTGTCAACATACTTTCTTTTTATAATGTATTGAAATCTGCATTTTTATCGATAATCTTTTATTATTTACAATCATGCATACATCTTAAGTTATTCATAAAACAAATTAGAAAAATTTATAATCAAAACAGAAAATTATAAACAGAATATTACAATCTGAAAATGTTGAAAATATATGCATGCTTTTGTTCCTTCAGTTGCATTTATAAAAATCTAGATCTGCACAAATAGTCTAATAATAATTTTTAATCTAATGATAATTATTTTAATGTAAAACTGGTTAAAGATATTCTGCTATTACTTACCAATAATTTATTGTAACCATGCTGAGATGGTGGCATCATATTCATTTGATTAGTCAAGTGATCCATTTGGTCAGGGTATGATTCTGAATATCGTTTATTTGTGGAATCTGGTGGCATACTCATTGGATTTGCTAACTAACTTCAATACTGAAAGAAGGGATTACATATTTTCATCTCATAATTTCAAACATAAATCTTACTTTGTACAAAGATTCAATGTAAATGAAAATATTTCAACGAGAATCTTTGAAAATAATAAAACAATTAGAAATAAAATATTTATAACAACTAAATGTTTGTTACATCTATATCATTGAAAACATATAAATGTAAAAATTTAATACAACCATCAATTGCTCCGAGATTTTTATTTAATCGAGAAATGAAGTTAATGACGTGTTTCGATATGTTCTATAAATAACTGACATCTCGGTGTTAACGTTCAGAAATTGATTAATTCAATTACTTCATTTTTGAAGACCAAGAATCGAGAGGTTAAAGCGTTAGATCGAAGTTAAAACACTACGAAACTTCGAAACTTCTCTTTAGGTTTTCCCGACGCGGAGAAAGTTTTTTACCTGTTTGATGACGAATATGGAAAGAAATTTAGACTCCGCTGCACTATGATACGTACATCGCACTTTTTTTTTTTAACAATACAATTCGCCGTTAATTACCCAGGACTTCTTCAATGCAAAATGTAACACACAACATTACGTGGCAGCCCACTTGACAGCAGCGCCATTTTCGCTCTGCGGACTGTTCACGAACCACATATTTCAACTCATACCCACACACGTATTGTTCAAAAATTGTTTTGTAATATGAAAAATCAAACATTTGAGGATATTTAATGCAAAGTAACAATAGTAACATTAGTTTCTTCTTTTGTAACAGCCGAATAAACTTTTAATTTACAATAAAGATAAATTCAATTTGTTTATTTGATTTCTTATTTTTTAACATCACATTATCCGAATATTATCGCATATTCTTTATAAGAATCGAATTGATATAAGAAATTGTACATTATTATTATGTATTCATGTTTATGTTTGAAATTAGTCGCGTGAAGGAAAAAAATTTTGTAATTTATCAAGCAAGAATTCCATTTCAATGTTGAAATTTAAGTTGAAACGTTGAAACTGCAAATTTGACGATCTGTCAAACTAGACTATTTGTTTATCTACATACGTGTATAAATATCTTGTTCATTTTATTTTTGTACGTTCGTAATATAGAAATAGCATTACGTTTTTTATCGGAATTTGTAATTATCATTATTCGACAAACGAGTTATTTTGCGAAATCTTAACTTCAGTGTTACAATTTACATAACCTACAAATATAAAGTTTGAAGCAATTCAGAAGTTCGATCGCATACTAAAGAATTACGTTCTTCTTTATTGTAAACATGAGCGCTTATAACGTAATAACATCGGATTTTGTAAATCTATCTATTACTAGTAATTCTAGCCACAACTCATATTGCGTAGAACGACGATTTCAAAAAGGAATAACAATTGATGAATTTAAAGTAAGAGTCTACAATAATAGTTGATGTTGATCTATGCTATTACATGTTTTTATTTTATTATGTTAAAGGGAAAATTGGAACTTGTTACTGGTGGTAATCCAATGACAATGAAAATTGAGGTATATGATAAAAATGACAAATTAATTTGCAAGTTAGATGATGGTCAACGTTTATTAGGCTCTTATCCTATTGATGATGGAATGCGAATACATGTAAAATACATTTATGTAACGTAATATGAGAATTCCCTTCGATTGTAATGCTGTTATGTGTGTAAATAACATATTTTAGGTGATAGATAATTTTTCCCGCACTGAGGAAAATTTAAATAATGTTGAGAAATTTGAAATATCTGAAGAAGAATACGCCAAGAGAACGGGTAAAGTAAAAGTACAAATAAAGTAAAAGTACAGATTTCTAGAAAAAATAATTATGTAAAAAAATCTATGACTTACAAGCTCTCAATTTAAGTTTAGAATTTTTGTAGTGTATTGATAAGTTTCTATTTCAGGTACTGTGAAAGCATTTTTGGAAAAAAATAAATTAGGAAAATATAATGAGGAAGAAATGAAGAAAAGAGCAGAAGAAAAGAAGCAAGAAGAAGAAGCAGAAGTAGCAGCTGCACAGTTATGCAAAGTAGGTGATCGTTGTGAAGTTTGTGTACCAAATCAACCAAAACGAAGAGCTACAGTTATGTATGTTGGTGAGTATACCAAATCCAGTTTAAATTCATTGCTTTATTATATCACAACCATTTATTTATGGTTTGTCCGTAGGGAAAACAGAGTTTAAAGAAGGTTGGTGGATCGGAGTAAAATATGACGAACCACTTGGTAAAAATGACGGAACGTAAGACTATTATAATATTGTATTGTTCTTTACTATTATGTAGTCTATTTTCAATTTTTTGTGTATTTTATTATTATAGTGTCAATGGGAAAAAATATTTCGAATGTTTATCGAAATATGGAGGATTTGTAAAACCAATACATGTGAAGATAGGAGACTTTCCTGAAGAAGAATTTAACTTGGATGAAGAATTATAAAATATCAACGTGTTTTGCCATGTTCTGTTTTTTATTATAAATTATAACTTAGAAGAAATTTAAAATTAATAATATTTATTACGTATAAAAATGTTCAATATTTTCTTCGCTTTATTATATCTGGTCTCCAATTTACAGGATGTGTCTCTTCGGTCTGAAAACAATAATAAAAAAAATAATCATCTCTCTTTTTTAAATTAATTAATTAGCGTAATTAACATTTAAAAAATAAAATTTTCTTACAGCAGTTTCATCTTCTTTATAAACTTTAATTGTTTTATCTGCTTCTGTTGTAATCATGCGAGTGCCAGACATATCAAACGTAATACTAAATACTCCAGCTTCACTGTCCATTGAACCCGGTTGAACGGGTGCTTGTAAACGTTGAAAATTATACCTTAAAATTTATACATTTACTATATACAATGTTCTATACACAATCAATTGAAAAAAAGAATGCAATCTTCATATGAAATATTATTTACCCTGTTCTCCAGTCCCAAAGGTGCATAGTACCATTATCTGCTCCAGAAACTAATACGCCATCAGCATTAACAGCTAAACAATTAACTATTGCATTATGACCTGATAAGTTCTGAATAAATTTTCCTTCTGGACATTTCCATTGTTTAATGTTATCTGGAGATGCTGATGCAAACATATATCTAACAAACAATATAAATTAAATAAAAAAAATTGTACATCTTGAACAACATAAAGAAAAATACATACAGCGATGGATGAAAAGTCACAGCTCTTATACTTTTTTTGTGATTTGTTAAAGTAGCTCTAGATTTTCCAAAAGCTAAATCCCATAATCTTATGGTACAGTCATGGCTTCCAGTGACAATCTGGTTAAGAAAGGAAGTAAAAAATTAAATATTCTTTTTGTATAACGTCAAATTATTTGATAAATTGTTTGACTTTGATACCTGTGGTTCAACTGTTTGACAAATTACACTAGCAACTGTATTGGTGTGACCAACAAGAGTATGTACATTTGCTTTGGTACGCATATCCCATACTCTTGCAGTAGAATCTCTACCTGCAGTTACTAATACATCAATGCTAGGATGTAATGCCATGGAATATACAGCTGATAAATGACCATGATAATGTCTTATAACCTGCAAAAACAGTAAAAATTATAAAACATTGAATACTAATTATTAAACACATAAAATAGTAGCATAAATAATTAAGATTATGCTACAACCTTATTATACTCAAGATCCCAGCACTTTACTTGGCGATCTTCTCCACAAGAAAATAGATATGGATGTCTTTGAGAAAATGCAAGTCCACGAACACTACTTATGTGACCAGTCAAAGAAACTTTCAATTTACCACTTGCAAGATCCCATATCTAAAATTTTTTGCAATATTATAAAATAATATGAATAAAATAAGAGTTATTCGAGACTATATTAATTACTATACGATATAAAATGAACAATTACATTATGTGTAATTCAATAATAAAAATATTAAATAAAACAATAATCTTACTTTAATTACTCTGTCTGCTGATCCTGTTGCAAACCATTCATTTCCTGGTTCAACAGCACAACATCTTACCCAACCAAGATGGCCACTAATAACTCTGTATAACTTCCATGGTGCATGCCACTTAGGTTTTGCCATAGAAGGTGTCTTTTTTTGTGGTATGAGTAATGACATGTTAACTGAACTTCCTCCTGAATTTACTTGTGGTGTTACTACCATATTATTGTTTTGTACAGGATTGTAAGGTACAACTGCACCAGTATTATTTCCTCCAAAAGATTCATCTACAAAATATATCACCATTTTTAAAGCAAAAAACAAAAAATATTGCTGAAATAATCAATATTTTTTTGTATATATAAATACCGCCTGGTGGAGGAGGATCTGCATTTTCATTGTCATTTTGAGCTTTCATTATATTGTTAGTTTTAACACGTTCTAACACAGGACCATAAGAATCTTTCGCTTTTACAAATTTTTTCATTTTTTGCCTGAAAAATTTTACTTTGTCATTTGTCCACTGTTTATCTAAATTAAAAGTGTAAAACATACTTACAAGCTAGGATCCACAGGTGGTAAATTACCTTGATTTAATAAAAACATGTCATGTGTTCTCTTTAATGATCGAAATACAAGAGTATGTACAGAATGCCTTTGTACATCCTGCAGAAAAATATGTATAATTTATTTTAAAATCATTGCTATAAAATTACTTGCATGAAATTCAATATTCATAATGCTTGAATATTCATAAAATTACTTGATGATTGCTTATTAATGGTAATTACCAAGATAATTAGTAGTAATTGCTTAATAAGCAGCTTTATTTAGTTCAGAAATATGATTAATAATTATTTCAGGAAAAGTTTAATGCTTACCATTTTCGTGGATGTAAGTCTTATTTGAATTAAATATAATATACTTTAGTCTTGTTATTGATACATTGCAAAAAAAAGGTTATGTTCATTACAAATATTACCATAGTATCGGTTCTGGTTCCATCTTTTGTCAACGACATAAGTCGCTAGAGATTTTCATTTTACTATAATGTAAATCGCAGCGCTAGTACTTTTCATCAAAGCAATCTCTGTGATGTCACAAGTTCAGCTTATACACGGTCTATGATTCTTGATAATCACAGAAAAAGTAAATGATAAGAAAAGATTGAAAGAATTTTAAAACTGAATTTCGAAGAACATAAAAGTAACAATGAAAAAATTAAATGAACCGAAAAGAGGTGAATTTAATGTCGATCTGTGGAAAGAAAAAACGACAAAAGACATTGATACCAATTGGTTATCTTTGGACACAGTCAGACATACATTGACACATTTTGGAGTAAAGAAGAAAAGGATACCTACTTCTTTGCGCAAAAGGCCATCCAATATACCAGCAGTTGAACCACCACATCCAGGAATTTCTTACAATCCTTCGTTTGAAGATCATCAACATTTATTATGTGAAGTGGTTCAAAAGGAAATGGAATTTATAAAAGAAGAAGAACATCTTAATAGAGTTACTACAAAGATGTTCAAAAAGGTATCTTTATTTAAAAATTTGTAATCTAAACTGTACTTAATAGTATAATTCAATTAATATCATCACAAGTAAACATAAATGTTACTATTTTATAAATAACATTCAATTATATGCCTCTAGATCTCTTTGCGTCATTGTATATTAATTAATTTTTTTTTTGTTCCTTTTGTGTACAATTTGATGTGTAAACTGAGTTTTTTGTTAGTTTATAATAATAATAATAATTTTTATATATCAAAAGTAGATTTACATTAGAATTTTATTGCAGGTTTCACCTGAAGAAAAAGAGAATAATTTGATCAAAGAAATGTCAGAAGGTCTGAAACCAGAAAATGATCAAGAGCCTGATGAAGATGAAGATGATGATCCAACAGTAAAATCTGTAAATTCCCCTGTTAAAAATCAAAAGAAAACGCGTGTACAGAGACGCAAACAAAAAGAACAAAAGAATTTGGCATATAAAAGGCAACAAGAAAAAATAGAAAAGAAGAAAATTTCAGATATATATAAATTAAAATTATTAGACAGACAGTTGGCTACTAAAGAAAAGAAACATAAAATATTAAGACAAAAGAGATTAAAGAAGAAAACACTTAAAGCACTGGGTACCAAAACACTTAGTAAAGTTAAATTTGAGCCTTTAGAACCTGATTTTAAATTATCTACTGAATTAACTGGAAATCTACGAAATACTGAACCAACTAATAATCTGTTGAAAGACAGATTTAAGTCTCTTCAAAAAAGAAATATTGTTGCTCCTGCTAATATTAGATTGTAAGTATAAAATATTTTCTTATAAAACTGTAAAACAAGTAGTATGTTTTTTTATAACTTTACTGAAAGATTACTGTTTGCTAAATTTATTGATAGCTTTGTAAATTTAATTTTCTTGAATATTAATTATGTTATACTTATGATGATATACCTATTATTATTACAGGAAACAAGATAAAGCTAGAGTGAAACGTTTTATAAAACCAGATCACAAGATTGATATGACCAAAATTGATATGAAATAATTTAACATGCAAGTATAATTTTTATGAAATTATGTACATACATAACTAAAAGTTAAGTAATAAATATATGTATGTTAATAAGTAGAAAAAATTTTTTACACTTTTTATTGTGGATAAAAATATATTTTTTCCAGCTACAGATAATTAAAATTGACGATATATCATTTTTACTAAATATATAAAAATCAATCAAATAATTTATGATTATTTTTAATTTGAGAATAATTTTATGTGCAATATTTTCAGAAAATGATTGAATAAATCAATCAAATGTAGATTTTGAAACAATTTTACTTAGTAGATTCTTCTGTAGATTTTTCATCAGATAATGATTCCTCTGCAAATTCATAATCTGTAGGTAATTCATGTTGGTTTTTTATTTGAAAATCGACAGTATGTTTGAAGGTATCTTCAATCAATAATTCTTGAGACTTCTCACTACTTTTAATAGATATCTTCATTTGTTTCTCCAAATCTTCAATATGTTTCATCTAAAAAATAAATTCAAATAATTAAAATTTAAAATATACTTATATAAATTATTTACTAAAATCACTTATTTACTTTATCTAAAGTTTCTTTACTCAATTCTTTTTCTATAAAGTCCACTGTCATCTCAAAATCAAGATCTTCAGCGATTTCTTTTATATTTGAGACAGATTCTAATTCTCGTGGTATAGTTTCAAACCTGAATTTATATATATATATCAATTTAATAATTTTCTTAACTAAAAACTTTAATAAGTATGTAAAAAATAATTTTATTTAAAGAATAAGAAATATAAGGTCTTCCACAAAGATTTACTTGTTTTTATTGTACTTATTACCGTATTATTATTATTACTTACGACTTGGTGATGATATGGCTTCGAAATTTTGATTGTCCTTTGATAATTAAGTCTCTCAGGAACAAAAATAATTCAATACAACTTAATGTTACTAGATCCTTACGACTGGGAGGATGCTACAAGTTATTCAGTGTTATAGTGTTTTGCGTGATTGAAACTAATATTAAAGTTTTTAATATTATTTATATAATTAAAAGCTAAAATTAATGCGTAAAGATATTTTAGCACATAGAAGTATTCATATCTTCCAATTGTCCATTTTTGCAATATAAGTTTTCTTTACTAATAAGAATGTATATTAAAATAATTAAGCTTAATTCAACAAAATATCTTACAAATTTAAAATTTGCATTGTAAAAAATATCCATCTTTCAATATCCAAGGAGATATAAATATTCTCATGTTGTCGTACCTTTAGTAAACATATTGCATTATATTTCAAATCATAAATCGTTTTTAAAAGCGCTTTTATTTTGCATTCCAATTTTTTCAAAATATATTTTGTAACACTAATCTTTGTTCTTTCTTTATGAAGCAAAGTTTTTAATGATGAAAGCTGAAAATTGATATCGTTTTCTTCTTGACGGGCTTTTTCTATTAACATTAAATATTTCTGTTCTACTGCAGGATCGGGGACGTTAATAAACGAAAAGTACCCTTTCGTATTGTAGAATTTCTTTCTCAAACGTTTTAACATCTCGTTTTGTACTTTTGCAGTTACTATATTTCCTTTCATAAGTTCAGTTTGTACATTCATTTTCTTCTTGTGATCAATTACTGCGTTTCTACATAGGAATAAATAAGAATAAACATAATCTTATTAAACTTATCGTATATATAACAAGAAAGAAAAACATATTTCAAATTATTTTAATATAAAGAAAAATGAAATTGCTTTTTCTCTCTCTCTCTCTCTCTCTCTTTAAAATATTACTTAAGAATGATATTAACGTCCATAATCGACGAAATTCTTGTAGAAATTTGTAATAATTCATTTTTTAACATGATGTTTTCCCTCATTAATCTTTGATTCGGTAAATTTATATATTTATTAACTTCTCTCTGAAATTGTGTTGCCAAATCGAGAAGACAATCGTACATTTCATTCTTGAGCCTGAATTAAAACAAATCTAATAAATTATTTTTCAATTTCTCTTCATTTTTAAAACCAATAACGAATACAATATCAATACATTTCTTTATCGAATTCCTTCTTCCGATTGATAATTTTCATAGCTTCTTTTATCTTTCTTTCGTTTTCTATCATCTGTACCTGGTTCGCTTCAAGCTTTTCTTCCAATGCGTGTTGTATTTTTTTAAAATCTTCCAGAACGTTAATTCTTGCATCTATGAAAACGATTTTGTCTTGACTTGTGGAAGAATGTATTGAAAACAAAATTAAAAGAAATAAGAAATTTTTAAAATTACTCAAAACTTTGATACGAGAAATTAATTCAACTTTCGTTTTCTTGTACTGTTGAACAAACAATTCTATCTTTTTTTCATGCAATTTTCTGTTCTCGGTTCGATCGTTCTCTACGACGCCGATATTTTCCTTCAAGCTTTTTATCGAATTATTTTGAGCTGAAAGTGATTTGTTCAAATTGGCGATCTCTTCGGCGGTTTCTGCATCCGCCGCAGCTGATCGTTCATTTGTTGTTTCAATTTCGTCCAGCAATTCATCGTTTCTTTCATCTAACCTAGATATTAATTTCGAGGCCGGTTTCTAATCTCTTTTTTAACAAATTTCAAATTTTTATCTTTGTATCGTACTACATGATAATAAAATACATTTACAAAATCGTTTTTAACCTGTTTATTCTGTTCTCAATGTCTGCAATTTTAATGCTATAAAAAGTTCGTTGCGTATTAATAATCGTCGGCAAGTTTTTCTCGTCTTCGTCATCGTACGATTGTAATTTTTTTGGCAATGAAATATTTCCTTTATCTTTCCCGTGTAAATCCACCATTTTTTTTCGTAAGACAAAAATTACGTACTTAAAAAAGAAGATACTTTTAAGTATACAAAAATGATTGGTATAGAGTGGAAAATTATGATGAGCGTTAACTTGTATCTATTGTTAATGTATATGAAACTTTTGCAATTCACAGTAAAACGTCATAAAATTCAGTAGGTTGCGTTAAATTTTGCGATTACACATTGTTTAATTGGTACCATTACGAAGATATTGTCTAAAATATAGAATATTATAAAGTTCTCCTGATGATTGCTCATGTTACAACACATACGTAACATATACAATAAGAAAATAAAAGTGTATAATGGGTGTTTATTAATGTAAAATAATGATTATTAATAATAATTTATTCAATAAATTGTACATTTTTTTCTTATAAATGTAGTTTGTCAATCTGCATGTTTTTTTTCATAAGCGAAATTTCAACGTCGAGACGATTGTTTCGTTCGTTTGTAGGTTATGTTACCAATGTTTTCGTGCAAATTTATACACATAAATAAACGGTTCGTTGTATATTATTTCAAAAGGTGCGAATTTTTCTTCTCTAATCTTTTGTCTTTTCAGTTTTGAGAAAATGTAACTGATATTTGTACAGTTCGAAGCTAACTTCAGTTATTTAACAAAACAATATAATGCACAAAACATTATAAAGTAGTGGTGGAACAGCTGATCCATCGATTTTTAAGTGCATAATACATTTCGAAAGATCAGTGTTAATAAAATATTCGAGAACACTATTTTTAGTATGGAAAAATAATATCTTTGAAAATGATTGTAAATATTCGATCGTTTGCGTGATAACCGAGATGTGCGTTGACGTGTCTCAATGACGTAATTTTGTCTTTCGCCCCACGAAAAGTCAAATTTACCAAGGAAATATTCTAAAATGAACTCAAGAATGTCTTCACTAAGCTGTTCAAACTAAAAGTAAGAATCTAACTATAATTATCTGGATATAATTTCCCTTTTTGTTTTCTTTTTCTGTACGTAGTGCTCGTGGAAATTTAGGTTATAGAAGAAAACAATGTAACCTTTTTGTAATTATTGTATACAGAAAATGTTGATGTGTCAAACGCAGTTTGAAAGTTGAGTGCTTCTATTGTAACAGTATATCCATAAAATAAAAATTTTAATTTATAAAATAGTACACAAGATTTATAGATGGTATCTGTGTATCAATATCAATATTTTCATTTTGCGTATTTTCTCCCACTAAATTTAAATTGTCACACATACGTTTGTACCATATGATTTAGAAACATTAAAGTAATGAAATTAAAATTAAACAAATGTATCAGTTACTTACTTCTGCTATGCATTTCAAATATTTTAATATTTTCTATTTCATTTTTCAAGAAGCAAATGCTTGTAAAAAATTTTAAATCAATATTATTTACATAAAGTATCCAATATGTATAATAATTTGAATTATAAGTTATTACAATAAAATATTCTAAGTATTATTTTATTATTATATCTAATTATTATAATGTGATAAATGTAAAAAAGAAAAAGTAATATATAACTGATCAACATTCATTCAATCAAAGCTTAAACTTTATCTATTGTTACATATATTTAATCTGATAAAGATTTTATGAAATATAATGTTGACTATATTTGTAGTGTATTATTCTATATTTTAAATTAATTAAAAATATAAAGAAAAATAATTAAAAGTACAACAGTATAAGTATAATAAAAAGTGAAATTTATAAAAATGATGTGTTCTTATATTATTCAATTTTTGTTCAAAAATTTCTTTGACATAAGGAAAATTATTATGTTATATAGTATGGTTTTTTTTAAATGTTATTATTTTGTGAAAAGTATAATATAAATCTTGTATTTATATCAAGGTCAGCTGATTAACAGAAGTACAATTACAATATTTGGAAAAATGAAGCTAAGAAAAGAGTTGATTTTACTCTTGCTGATTATGTCAGCTGCCTCAGAATCAGTTGTTTCTAAAAAACGATCAGATACATCTGAGGAAGAAGCAGAAGAAGATGTTAGTTTAGAGGAGAATGCATTTGAACATCTGCAAGAATTAAAGGCTTTGCATGATACAATTTTGAAAATAGTACCAGCTTCTGAACCGTCGTATCTTGATGATAAAATTACAAAGAGAAAAGAGGAAACTGAAAATGATCCAAAAACAAAAGATGAAAGTCCTGTAATGAGAAATGTTTGGATGAAAACAATGATAGCTCAAACTAAGAATATAGATTTACCAAATAGTAATTTAAGAATTGAGGAGGAAGATAATGAAATATGGAATGAAGAAGAACAATTTGAACCTCTTAGTGAAGAGACTCAGGAACCTCTTACTCCAGAACAACAGGAAGGTAAATCCAATTAAAATGTTAAATCTTTATAATATAAATTTTATAATTTGTACTAAACAAAAATGTAGTTTGCTATTTAATTAAAATAAATGTTTAAACATTTTCAGCTGAGCTAATATTTAAAAAGGCACAGAGTCTCTTAAATGCAACACGCTCAAATAAAGAAGAAGCTTATAAATTATTAACCTCTGCAGCAATTCTGGGGCATAGAGAAGCTTGGTCCATGTTAGCATGGGCTCAGTTACTGGGTACACAGTTTGGTTCAGCTTCTTCCGGTCAAGATATTCCAGCAGCTTATGAGATATTTAAAGAACTTGCTGAAACTGGTTTACCTTCTGCTCATATGGTAAGTTTTTGCATGTATAAAAAACAGGGTGAAAACGAGACCTATGGATAAATTATTTTCAGGGTATGGGTTTTTTATATGCAACTGGATTAGGTGGAGTACATGCTTCGCAAGCAAAGGCATTGCTTCATTACACAGCAGCAGCGCTTGGTGATGATACTCGTGCACAAATGGCTTTAGGCTATCGTCATTGGGCTGGAGTTACAACTCCAGCTTCATGCGAAAGAGCTTTAGATTTTTATCGTAAAGTAGCCAATAAAGTTGCAGAAGAAGTATCTCTTAGTGGAGGGCCAGTCGTTCAGAGAGTCAGACTTCTAGATGAACAGGAAAATCCAGCATACAGTTCAGGAATTTTTGATCAAGATTTAATAGAATATTACCAATTGTTAGCAAAAAAAGGAGATATACAAGCTCAAGTGGGATTAGGACAGTTACATTATCAGGGTGGAAGAGGTGTACCACTGGATCATGAAAGGGCATTACAATATTTTCAACATGCCGCTGATGCTGGGAATCCGCTTGCTATGGCTTTCCTAGGAAAAGTAATAATATTAAATTTTTATATAAATTACTTATTAAATGAAGGAAATACATTTTCACTGATTTGACCTTCTCAATTATGTGAAAAGCACACTTTTTTCGGAAATTGTAGAGCGCTGTTACTTAATTGAATTGCATTTAAGAACATATTTTCTCTTTATAGATTTATTTAGAAGGAAGTGATATAGTAAAACAGGATAATGAAACGGCATACAAGTACTTCAAAAAAGCTGCTGAACTTGGAAATCCTGTCGGACAAAGTGGTTTAGGTCTCATGTATCTTTATGGAAGAGGAGTTGAAAGAGATACTGCAAAAGCTCTTCAGTATTTTAGTGAAGCTGCAGAGCAAGGATGGGTCGATGGACAACTTCAACTTGGCAATATGTATTTTAGTAAGATATTTCCTTGTGTATAATTTTATACAATTATTGGTATGTAATAAATTTAATTACCCTAATAACACAATTATCTAACAGGTGGCACAGGAGTAAGACGTGATTATAAATTAGCCAACAAGTATTTCAGTTTAGCTAGCCAATCTGGTCATGTTTTGGCATTCTATAACTTGGCACAAATGCATGCTACTGGTACAGGCATGATGCGTAGTTGTCCAGCTGCTGTTGAACTTCTAAAAAATGTTGCCGAAAGAGGCAAATGGAGCGACCAATTAATGGTTGCTCACACAGATTACAGAGAAGGTAGAATAAACGAAGCTTTCGTCAATTATGCTCTCCTTGCAGAAATGGGTTATGAAGTAGCGCAGAGTAATGCCGCATTTATATTGGATAAAGGAGAGACCACAATATTATCAGAAGAAGAAGGATTGGTTAGGGCTCTTGCGTTATGGGCTAGAGCAGCTGCTCAAGGATATTCTGCTGCTCAGGTAATTATTACTTAATAATTTTTATAAATGATCGTAATATAGTGAACATTAGAGAATTTTATATGCAATAATATATTTATAAATTTGGTATAAGTTTGGTAAATTTGGTAATATTAACAGAAGATACTAAAAATTTATTGTAACAGGTCAAATTAGGAGATGCTCATTATTATGGCCGAGGGACAAAAGTTGACTACGAAGCTGCAGCTAGTCATTATAGATCAGCTTCTGAACAACAGCATAATGCTCAAGCAATGTTTAACTTGGGATACATGCATGAACGTGGATTGGGTCTTGCAAAAGATCGACATCTAGCCAAACGATGCTATGACCTAGCGGCGGAAGCTAGTCCGGATGCAAGAATTCCTGTAGCTTTGGCTCTCATTAAACTTTCGTTTCTCTTTGGACTGGATTATCTGCAAGAGTTTAGTCTTGCTGACCATTTAAATAAATGGGACCAGCTTTTGGGTCAGAATTGGGACTTGTATCTCATAGGATTGCTCACTGGCATGCTCAGTTTAATTATTTATTTCCGCAGGCCACAACCACCACCTCCACCTAGAATTAACTAATTAACTATCTTTCTTTTTTGAATCTGTTTCTCTTTTTCCTTTAGATGAAGTGAAGTTTGTTACTGATGGTTCATAAATACATGCACACATGTGCATATTGATACGTTGTTTTTATTGAGCCACCTTGTTTATGTTAAGATTATTTGAAATATTAATGGAACTGTAAACAATTTGTATTTTAAGATTTTGGTTATTTGTGAATGTGTACAATGTTTATATTATATGATTGATCTATACTTTATTTTGTTATATTTTTAAATTGCCAAATTTGGTAATAGTTGAGCAATATTTTAATTCTTTAATTTTACCTATATGCTAGTTTTTGCTCTAATGTACAAAACAAATTCAGACTTTGAAAAAAATCTTAAAATTTTAAATATTCGCTATTTGTTTAGTCCGTATGGACTTTTTTAATTTTTATTACAAACTATTTATAATTTGCTATAATTCGCTAATTTGTTTTAGAATACATATTTTGATATTTCGTAATTTTAGTTTGATATTTCTTGATATGTATATGTATATTTAAAAAGAAAAAATAGAGATGATAACACAGAATTATGGAAGTAGGTGTAAATGCTTATAAATAGAGCATAAAATTTAGAATATGATATTTGCATTTATACATAACAGGTAAGTTTATAGGAAATACATATATTTTTATGAAAATTTATAAAATATTAGTGTAACAATACTCTGTTCTGTTTGTTTAATAAAATTAATAATATGAAAAATATGTTTTCTAATAAAATCCAATGAAATAAGGAAAAATTTATATAGAATATTTCATTTTGCTTTACATCTCCATAAACTATATTCTGTTCTAAAGTGAATCGAATTATGAACGTGTTTCATGTATAAAATAAACATTTCTTCATCAATTACAATGTTAACAAATGTATTATTATTATTATATATTAATAAAATTTTATTACAATTCTTAAATGTATGTCAATAATGTATATAATATACGTCAATACTATTGATCAAGAGATACAGACAAAAATGTACATAAAATAAAAAAATATTATTAGGTATTTTAACTACCGTTTGAATTTAATGATAAAACTTTATAATAAAAGATTATTTTTCCAAAAGAATCATTCCATTATTCAAAAAATGATACTGTATTTAACTATTTATATTTTGCAAAAAGTAACTTCGAAATTTTACATAATTCACTTACAATTTAAAATATTTAGAAAAAAAAATGAAAAAAACTTGTAAAATTGGAGAAAATGTTTCATTACAAAATAAATTGTCAAAGCCTTCCGTTATCATGAAACTATAGAATTATCGATCTAACAAGAAATACCTTTGCGTACTGTTCCTTAATGTGACGTGCAAGGATACAAAAAAGTTCGTAAAGTCATAATTAACAGCTGATTGATAAAAATGCAACGGGCTAGAAAGAAGAAAGGCAAAAGTAAAAAAAAGAAAGTGAAAAAGAAATGTATTGATGAAAGGGAGACTCTCTCTTACGAACAAGAGATCTTGGATAACAACAGACAGTTGGCACGGTATATAAATATATAAATTTATAAAATATGTGTATATATATATATATATATATAGTAGTCATAGTATATATATGTGTATATATATATATAGTAGTTATAGTAATTTTTGATTGATCAAAATTTGACTTTATTATTCATTTATTATTTGACATTGTATTATTATAAAATATATCGACTGATTTAAAGTACTTCAGATCAAAATTTGTGAATATATTTTATAACTTTTAATAACACATATTATAAATCATCATAATTTCTCATTCAAAGTTTCTACGTTAATAGAAATAATAAAAATCTTAAATGTACATATTGAATTTGAAAATAGAAAAGTAAATTAAAAAAAAAAACACAAAATGAAAATGCAAATCTAATGTAAATTCAAAGGAAATTTCTGGCTCAATGAAAGATGAATTGACATGAATAAAATAGATTGAGAAGTCGAAATGAAGAACTGGAGGAGCAAGCGGAACTCACGAAAGAGAAGTTCCGGCAATTGGAAGAAGATCGGTCAGATGTAATTGCGCATTTGAAAAGAAGTTTGGACGAAAAGATTGAGGAATCGAAGGAGCTTTCTAAGAGACTCACCGCTTTGGAAGAATTACGGAAAAATGAATTAGCTGCTTATAAGAAGAAGGAAGAAGCGATGGAGAATGAATATCACATGATGGAGAACAATTTGAGCGCTGAAGTTAAATTAGTTGGTGAAGTATAAACGTTAAAAATTAAGATTAGTTGTGTAGCTATAATTAGTTTAATTACTAACGACATTAATATAAATATAAATATATATATATATGTCGATTTTCTAATTTAAATGTTGTTTTTGTATAAAATGTATAATTTTCTTGAAGAGAAGTAAATTTCATTATCTAATGTAATTTTTTTCTTTCGATTAGCTGGTAAGTTAAATGCATTGGAAGATTGGCGATTAGCCCGACTTGATTTATTGCAAAAATTTGAGAAACAAGAACAGAAAATGTCTGAGCAGGAAATGCGACATAAAGAGGAGCTTTACGAAGCTGAGAAATCCATAATAGTTGGGAAATCGATGTATGTTTTGTTAAAAGATTCAATTATATTTGTAAAAAATAGCGCACGTAGTTTAAAAAATCAATATACATATATTGATTAAAAATAATGGAGGAAATTAACACACTTTTTATATAGAAATCTAGTTTTATTCGCATTCAAACATCTATTATATTTAATTGCAGATAATTTTGCAATAAATTAATAAATGATGAGTTTTTTAAATTTCAGAACATGCTTATTATAAAAATAACTGAATTTAATGACTAATTCTAAATACAATTTCACAGAATACTTTGTGAAAAGTCCAAATACTGTTTATTTTTGGATTTAGGATGATTTTGGACATCCTGTAACATACATATGTGGACAATAATATGTATTTCAGATTTCTAGTTCAATGGCCAAAGATAATAAAATGATTCCATTTGACCTTGTTTATGAAATATAGCGAGTTTAGATCGTTAAATCTAGGATAGAGAAAAATTTACGAGCCCGAGATTGCGATAACTCTATGCAATCGCGATGATTGTGTGCAGGATGCAGAAAGAGATGAAGGAACATTTGCAAATTTTATCGGAAAGACTTCTGAAAGCGGTCACATTGCGGATAACGGAAGTCATGAATCGTGCGATTCATGAAAACGTGGCGTTGAACCGCGATCTTGATAAATTGCTGAAGACCAACAAGGAACTCGATGCCATCAACATCGAACGCAAGAAAACGGAACAAACGTTGAGGCTGAAATGCGAATTGTTCGAAACCGAGACGAAGATAATGTTGGATAAGACATTGAAACAGAGGAATACCATTCATCAAGTTGTTGAAGTAAGATTATTATTATTATTATTATTATTGTAAATCAATCAATTCATCAAGTTACGTAATTTAACTAATACAACTTTGTGTAGTTGTTACCATAAGATAAAAGTCACAAAAGATATAAATATAATTTCACAGGAATATGAATCATTGATATTGTATTATGGACAAGCACAAAGAAACAATAATCGTCTCAAACAATTGCAAAGAATTTTGGAAGATATTATTAAACGAAAAGACGAACTGTTAGATAAAAAAATGAAGCAATACGAAGAAAATATCTTGATGACTAGAAATGAAAATAAACGATTAATAGAACTAATTCAAAAGAAAGGAAAAGAATTAGAAACATTAAAGTCTATTTTAAACAATGTTAGCACTTTTCTTACCGAAGCTTTGCAGGTGATTTTATGCCCTTCGTTCAGTTAGTTTCACTTTCACTTTTAATATTTAAATCTATTTCTTTTTGATCAATAACATATTGTTTTTTTCAAAAATACTTTCATATTTTTATGCGCATTTATATATATATATATAAAATGTCTTAAAAAACATATAGAAGATATTTAAGGGAAGACGTAATGAAATACAAATAAAATTTTTTTCAAACAACATTTATAGTAATTATAAATAATTATTATTGTTATTTAATTATTTATTATACTTAAATATCTAATAGGTTGCTAAAGAAACTTATGACCAACAATGTCTTGGAAAAATGTGTCCAGAAATGCTGCAGTCTCTAATGGAAATATTGCAAACTGAAACCATTACTAGAGCTGTAGATTACACGGCATCCGAGGTGCAATGTCTTCATATTAAACCTAGTTAATAAGGAATTATAAGTAAAAAAATTAATTCTTTAAATTAAACGTATGTAATTAAATGTACATGTATATTGTAGACTGACGATATTGATTGCAAATATACATTAGGAAGTTTAGGACTTATTGAACCTATTGAAGAAGAAAAAGTTGACAAAGAAAAAGAGAAAGATATTCAAGAAGAAATACAGGAAGAATTACTAAAGGATTTGGAACAAACACCATCTTGCTTATTGAGTGATATTAGTTTTAGCATTCCATCTCCAAAAGAATAATCACTTTTTAATGCACACTTTGGTAATAGACAGTTTATAATTGTTATATTGTTATGATAAATAATATTAACAATAATAATAAAAAATTTTATTTACAGAAATTTTTAAAAAGATTTGCAGAAAATATCTCTATCTTTCGTATTTTTTAAGTACGAAATTGAAAGCAATGCGTATTATTATACAGTAATGCACATTTATAATCTTTTTTTTAACATTTTATAATTTTACATTAAAATTTCTTAATAAATTACAAAGTTACATACAAAGTAAGAGTGTGTATATGTATTTATAAATGAATATAGTTAATTCTATAAAAAATAATATATATATATTTTATCATATATTATCTTTCGAAAATTCGAAAAAAAACCATAAAAAAGATGTAGAAAACTTAAATTTGTATAGTAATATACTATAAATACTGTAGATAATATTATAACTACTACAAATATTTGTGAAAAATATTAAAACTAATTATATACATGTATATACATGTGTATATACATATGTATGTAGGTATATATTTACTCATTTATACATCAGATTTTTGATTCTCCGTCGTGGAATATCCTGTGTAAATTTTAAAATATGTATGTATTTACATAAAAAAAGAAATATGCCTAAAAAAAGACAAGGGAGGTTAGTAAAATTATTTTAATAACTAATAAATTTATCAAATGATTATAACTTTTAAACTTGTATAGAAAATAATTTATTATAAAAATTTTTACTTCTTATCGTCCTGTAATAATTTCAAAAGATCTAACTTAAATAATCTAATAAAATCCAGAATTTCTGTTTTTGAATATAAAAGAGAACACATGTAATTTGTATAATAATCTGTATACATATTGAATGTCAAGAGAGGTTAGGTTATAAAATTAATAATAATTTCATTTTTATTAATGTTAAAAATAACAGATTAATATATACGGAAGAAACAAGAATAAAATATTTTATATTTTAATAAAAACTTTAAAAATTACAATCTCAAATAATTTTTTATTCGTGAATAAATTGTTTAAAAAATAAAATAATTTTAACAAATACCTATGTATATATATAACTAAATTTACTATTTTTCCAGTATTAGAATAAATGTTAGCTCTTTACATGTTTTCTTCACATATTTTAATTTAGAAGTAATATTTATTTTATGTATAGAGGTAAAACAGGAAAAGAAAAGAAGGAAGTTAATAAGGATATTAAAGAGCAATATTTTGAAGAAATCATCGATGTAGATGAAAATACTACAAAGGATTTTGAATTTTTATCAAATGCTCCAATTTCTGGAAATGATGATTTTGTTTTTGAATCTGAAAAGAATTGGGATGTTGACGTTTTCAAATACTCTGATTTTTTTATACTTGATTTAAAGACACTGTCTGCAGCAATAGAAGCAATTCCATTTAATGAAAATGTTAATATTGATAGAAAGTATTTTACTGTAAGTTTAATAATATATTGAACTAATTTAATTTAATTTTGACCATTTAAAAAAATAAATAAATTTTATTGAAATATTATTAACTATTGCAGGATGATCAGTTAACAGATATTTATAATACAGCAGAACGAGGTAAAGAAAAATATACCAAAATATTAAATGATTCAGAAAAGATAGTTATAAATAATACAGAAGATGAAGACAAAAGTCAGAATTCATTAGAAAACACAGCTGATGATTTAGATATTTTATTGTCTTGTCAAGAACCTGTGATTGATCCTTTAATGGTTGTGAAAAAATCTTTATCTTTTTCTTGTAGCTCTGGTATATATTTACAGATATTTATTTTGAAAATATAACTTTTAAAAGTATGCTAATAAAATACATATTTGTTACAGATGCAAAGATGACAAATAAATCTAACACATCAACCAAATCTTTAGATTTAGAAAAGTGGCTAGATTCCATATTGGACGATTATGATTAGGTATTAGTTATTGTTTCAAAATTTTATATTGGAAGTTTTTTATATACAATTTTTGGAACCTTAAATTATTGTTAAATTAAGCATTCTTATGACAAAATAGTGAATAAAAATTTTTCTTCTAATTTATTATATTTTAATAATGATCAATTTATCAAATAAAATAGATTTATTTTGTTAATTGGAAATCAAACAAAAAATTTTTCTGCGTAAACGTTATTATAATATATTAAATAAATTAATAAAATTCGCAATATATATCCTTTTTGTAATATATTTTCTTTTTTTTTTTTACATAAATATTTCAAATTTTACAAAAGATATAGTTACAAATTCGTTTAAACATATTTTTATTTTATGTTTGATAGGTGGTTATTTTATTTGTACAAAAAATGTATCTATAAGAGAAAAAAGGAAGAATTACTAATCTTTAAACACTAAATCTAAATATAATCTAAATCTCATATTGAGATAAACAAATTGAGGAACTGCTTTCTTGAACAATTCTTTGATAGAAAATGCATGTAGAAAATGCATTGTTCAGATTGCTTTGTAGACTAGAATTTTAACTAGTCGCCAAATTGCATACTGAGGTAAGCTTTCATTTTGTCATAAACTATGAGCATAATCGCGCCACCTGGTCCTAACCGTAAAATCTTTGGTAACAATCCTTTGTACAAAGCTCTAAATCTAAAATAAAAATATTCATGAATTATTGATATACAGATATTTAAAATAAATGTAATAAAAACATAAAATAATATAATTTACATACAATATATGATATAAAAATATAAAATTAATAATTTCTTACCCTTCATTTTGATAAACTAAATAAATAGTTTGTAGAGTACCCTTATACTGAATTGGACCCTGTGGACCTTGAATACGACTTTTAGCAACATCAAAAGGTATATTCATACAAGATGCTGCTGTCCCAGATATAAAACCTATGGCAAACTAAAAAATATTTTTATTATACTGATAATAAATTTCGTATGAAACTAGTTTTCTTTTATTAAATTTATAAAATACTAAATAAGTTATGATAGTGGAGTATACCTTCAAAAGCAGTTCTGGAACATATTCTTTTTGTTTATTTAATCGAGGAATGATAGTATTATAAATTCCGAAATAAAAGGCATTAAAAATAGCATTTCTCATTATTGTAGCAGATAAACCTTTATTAAGACCATTTAGTCCAAAACCTTGATTGTAAAGGATATGTCGAGTTACAGCAATAGTTGATGGACAATCATTGATGCGTTTACGATTAGATTGCATTTGTATTTTTACTACTTCAAATGGATTTACTAAAATTGCCTCTGTTACACCAGTTAGGAATCCCGCACAAAAAAATGTCTAAAAAAACATGTTGTATAAAAATTTACATATTTAATTACATATTAATATCAATATTGTTCAAATATACAATTATGAGAAATTATATGTATAAAGTATAAATAAGAAAATATATATAATATAGAAGGAATGTAATACATACCATTGACTTTGACATATGGTTATTAAAAAACTTTTTATACTGTTCAAAGGAGAAAAACTGGAAAAAATAAGGAAAATATACATAACATTCATATTAAAATAGTTATTTTTCATTAAAATTTATTTTGAGAATTTATAGTGAAAATAACAAAAAAAGGGAACTGCTTTGAATTACATACTTTCACAGCTCTCTTAGGAGTTTCCATGATAACTGGTGGTAATATACCTTTCCAAAATGCAGCAATTCCCTCATTGTTATACATTTTGTTCATACAATCTCTAATTCCTATGATAAATAATAATATAATTTGAAAAAAATTGTGACAACTAAATAAAAGAAAATATTGAAAAATATTACAACAAAATAATAAAACTAATACTGAAATAAAAATATATATAAATAATACAATGATACAGTGCCTGTATAATAGAGAACATCTTGCGATCCCATCTTTACTTGCAGTTGAAAACGCGTTTTAATAAGATCCATGGGGTGCATTATACAAGCTTCTACGAAGCCTGCTGAACCCCCTGCACCAATTTGAATGACAGCCTCCTTTAGAAGACTTGGTTTACGTTGTGCAACTTCTATATGTGCCATTTTGGTTCAGCTATTTTTACTAGATCCTTAGTTCATTAGTTTTCTTAGCTTTTTTTTATGAAAGAGAAAATATAATTTTCTTCTAATTTTGCAAATATTTCTAGAACATAAGTTTTTTTTTACAATTTATTTTGATATATGTTTAAAAAAATGATACATATTTATACGTTATTAAGATAAGTTCGACCTCGCTGTCGATGCAACATAAAAAAATGAAAAAAGAAGAAAATTTTCAGAAAAAAATACTTTTCTACAGAATATTGAGTATTACAGAATATTTACTACAGAATATTGAGATATTAAAAAAAAAAAAATATTTTTTAGTATATGTATGTATGTATTTTAAGAAATTTAGGAAGATAATTTATCCAATAAATTAATTCCTGCCAAACAAAAAAAGAACGAAAAATATGATTTTTGATAAAAACATGCTTGTTTTAATGTCTAGAAAAACATCGAATTAATAAAATACAATTACATAAAATATTAACAGTTCAATTCTTTTAGTCAAAAATTAATGTTTTTTGTGTAAAAAAAATTGTTATAATTAACAAATATTAACAAAGACAATGAAATAATTACGTTTTTAATATAAAATTTTTTGATGACTATGAAAAACGTAAACTAAACAAAATTACAGAAAATGATAAGAATAAGTATGATAAACCAATACCTTGTCATTATCTTGAATATTACGTAATCTTATTAATTGTAAATTAAGCAAAAATCTCTAACTTAAAATGATTCGTTTTCATAGGAATCGACATTTGTTTTATTTTAAGGTAAATTATAAAATATTTAATTAAAAAGATTGCTTAAATGCAATTTTTGAAAATAATCATTACCGCTAAATCTATGTAATTATATGAATATGCATTATACGTTTGTAAAATTATTTATTCTAAATCCAAATCGTTGTTATTCAAAATATTTTTAATAAATTTATTTGTTTAGTTTAATTAAACTGATTGAGACAGAAAAGAAAACTAGTTATACTAAATATACTAGTTCTTTTTTTTAATCATGGATATTAAAATTATAAAGTACTTGTTTTTTTTTTATATTTATATTGAAATATCTACATTCACAATTTTTAATCAATTTTAATTAATTATACACTAATTATTGATGTATTATAATTATTTAAATAATCTTAACTTTGGTAATTTGACACTTTAAAGATACATACAACATATTATATTTATTATCTATATTTAGTATTTCAAAAGTATTGAAATTAAATTAAAAAATATAACGAGGAACATGATTTTCTAAATTTATTAATATCTTCAAAAGTGTAATTAAGCAATTTAATGTATTAATAATGCCTTGACGACTCTTAATTGTATAATTCATTAATTGTTGTGCATTCTATATATTATAACTCTGTTACAAACATAAATAAATAAATACATTTCCTATGCAAAATTCTGTTTACAGAAAATTTACAAGATTTTAATTAATTTAAGGAAAGCTGTTATATGAGGCAACATTTTTACAATAAAAGGTTGACTTTTTTTCATTTAATACAGCTGAATATTTTAATTCTGGGATTAAGCAAATACTTTATTGATTTGTTACAGTATTAAAATACTCCATTTATTCGACAAACAAACTCACAAACGTTAATTGTCGCTGGTATTATCATTAGCAAAAAATAAAAATTTAAAACAAACCATGAGTTAATTATATTAATGTTTTAATGCAATAAGGGTATAAATAGATCGGTTTAGTACATATTCAATTAGCATTCATCGTGCCAGTATTTAATTGTACAAATTAACTGTATGTATAGATACTTTTATCAATCGTAGAAATAGCTGCAGATAATAATGAATTTTTTGTTCATCTTCGTAATATTCTGTTTCGTTCAAATAATTCGTGCTTGCAGCCTTGAATCTTTATCGATGCCATTTTTGCTGCTACAATAGTGCCTTGTTAATTGACCGCGGTTCAAAGTCTATGTACATCTGGTTAAGTTCTTGAGAAAAATGTTTTGAGAAGTCTCTTTGCTGACGGGTGCGCTTCTGATACGAATGTTGAACAGATTTGACTACGAGATGTCCTGGGAAGAAAGTGAACAACTCTGCCAGTGTGTTTGGTAGGTCATTTTGAATAAAAGAGGGTTATATCACTCTGCGCTTATATACGTCTATAACGTAGGTACTTACGAAACGCCAGTGACAAAGCGAGGCATTGACGGAGATTTGGACGGTCAGTTAATAAAGTAAAATTAATGCGGCACTACTTCTGACTATCATCGCAATGCCACTTCATAGTTGAGAGTCATACTGTTGACAATCAAATAGTTACGAAGCGTCACGCTTCAAGAATAAGTTGCTTTGCCGAATCTTTCTTTTTTATTCCTATCACGTTCTAATTTTTATATCGACGATATTTCGATAATATGGACGTTAGGCGTAGAAAGGTTTGTTTTCAATATTTTCTTCTTTTTTAGTCAAATTCGTATTCAATCGATTTAAAAAATAATTCTAAGTAATAATAAATAACACGATCTAACTTCAAAGCAAATACATTTTTATACAGTATGCATATACAAAGGTATAAATTATTAATGTCAACACGTTTACAATAATTTAAATGTTGTAGATAATTTCATGAAGATAGATTAATACATATATCTTTTATTTAACATAAAAAACTGTCGATTAAAATAATTACAAATATTATGATGATTAAGAAAATAATAGTTTCAGCTACTAATCAATAGTAAGTTACGTAAGTTTCGAAGTTCAAATTCCATAAATGTAAAACATTTTATAACTTTTTACACTTTTAATTTAGGCTTATTTGCTTATTTCGCGAATCATTTAATTTGGCTAATTTTATTGTAATTTCATTTGATCTGCATTTAATTTAAAAATTCAAATAAAACTCTGAAGAGAATTTTATTACGTTGGCATTATGTCATCATATTTAATGCTTTTTCATTGTATTTTCATGAGCATATTCTTTTCGAATCATATTCATTGTGAAACAAAAAAAAAAAAAAATACATATATATATGTATTTTGATCATTTAATGCTTGTCAAAATTTTCAAAAATTTCAAACTTGAATTTCATTTATCATCGTTTCAATTTTAAAAGATTTAAAAAATTCAAATAGTGTATAAATATTTAATATCTTTTTCCTTCTTAAAAACTTATGATTATGACTATATTCTTAAAAACTTAAAATTGTTTCAGGCTAAAGTATTATAATTCGCATATATATATTTTGGAAAAGTTATAATACAAGGAATTACGTATCTATAATTTAGATTAATTTCTTATAAAATTTTATATTAGAGACAAGATTAGCAATATTTTTTATTTGAACTCAGATTGCGAACGTGCTAAATAAATATATGGATTTTTATGATTATAAATGTTAACTGTCTGATACAATGTCTTTACGCACGTGAAATTTTCGATGTTCCTTGTCTAATGCCGAATATGTGATGCTTTTATTTTCTTTAATTTTTTCACCGTGTAAAGAAATCGAAACTAGCTTCGTTGTCTGTATCAACTTCTTGTATTGCATTTTAGATGCAATATATTCCAGTAAGTTTAAAATTAACCTGTCGTTTTAATTGTATATTGTAAAAATTAAATGGTCACACATATTGAATTTGAGGTTATCGTTCAATTCTACGATTATTATAAAACTGTCTTTAACATTAACAGTTTCAAGTGATTATTTCTAATAATGTAACGTATTGTAGCTAAAATAAAAATATTTTTATAAGTTTAAATATTATAATATTTTTATAAGTATAATTTGTCGCTTTTCTCATTTGTAAAAAAAAAGATACAATAAGACATGAAATGAGGAGAAAATAATATTTGAACTTATTTCACAAATTGAATATCAATTCAGTGATATCTTTGTAATTATTTTTAATTTGTTAATTTGAAAAGATTATTATCAAGTTTCATATTGCTAAAGAATATAAGCAGTTTTGAAGTTTATTAAGTTTATTTGATGAAGTTGTTTGTACAATATCTTATTTTAAAATATCTTATTTTTTTGTGCTATGATAGAAATATTTGATTTAGAAAAATAGAAACAAACTTTATTTAGTGTACATAATGTATATATAATAAATTAATGTTATTTTTTTCAGTTAAAAACAGAAAATGACGATATTTTTGAAGTTGATACCAAACCTAGAATTAAAAAGGGTCATCCAGGCAAAAGATACTTTGTTGTTGTTGTCTTATTGGGAATTCTCTTCTTAGGATATATAGCAATAGCGTATGTACTATTTTTCAGTGAATATAACAATTGTATTAGACTTGTTTACAATAAAATTTAGGAAAATTAAAATACTATCATTAAATAACAATAATTTGAACTACTTCATCTTTTGTTTTTTTCAGATATGATTTGAAACCAGTACACCTCGGTAGCAAGGCAATTGATACATTGGCTTTTTCCTTTAATCTACAAAAGCCATTTTATGTTGTAGTAATTGATGCAGGCTCTACTGGCAGTCGTGCTTTAGCATTTAGTTTCCATGAATCAATCCTTGGTGGCAATTTGGTTTTGGATGATGAGCTTTATACAGACATAAAACCGGGTGTTAGTGCTTATGCTGAAAGACCTAAGGATGCAGCAAAATCTTTGACTGTGTTGTTAGATAAAGTCAAAGGAGTCATACCACAGGTAGAATGGCAACATACACCTCTCAGCATGAAAGCTACAGCTGGTTTGAGACTTCTTCCTGGACATAAGGCTCAAGAAATACTCCAAGAATGCCGGAAGATGTTTGAAGATAGTGGTTTTCAAGTATGTATTCAATATTTATAAAGTTAATAGTGCATCATAAAATTTTTATTCTGGAAATTGGATTTACAGTTATTATATATATATTTTGTTTTATATTTAAATTATTTGCTTTGTTTTAAAACCTTTGGGGATTTCAGCATGTGTTGTTTTAACTCTATTGATACTGTTTTTTCTCTGATTTTATGATCTTTAAATTAGCATATAATAATTTAATAAAAATAGAGACATGTAAAATATGATATATGATTTTGGATTGCTATATGTGTTTTTTTATCATATTTTTGATTATATGTAAATTAATACAAATTATTTTGATTGAAAAAGCTTTGGCATTCTATTGTCATTGATTTTACAAAATTTAAATCAAGTGATTTTTTATTCAGACTTATTTTAAATAAAATCTTTTATTTATTCAATAAAGAAATTATTGAATATGCTAATTTAAAATGGTTTTTCATATTTAACAAGAAGTCAGAGTTATATTTTTAAAATTCCTACATTTTCCTTGTTTTAAGTGCATTTTTCTCAGTGATAAAATATTTTTCTATTGTCTTTAGTAGGATTGCACGCATATTTCTTCTTGAGGATGAAACTAAGTGGTGTATGTAATAGATCAGTATACAGCATGAAATTCACATTAAAGAAATTAGCTGCTTCATTTGTATAAAGCTTAGAAGCTTTTAGCTTAAGATAGATGTTTATTATTTATTCTATGTGTATTTTAGATTTCCAAAAATTCGATTTCTATAATGGATGGGACAGATGAAGGTATATTTTCATGGTTCACTGTAAATTTCCTATTGGAACGTTTCGCTACGCACAATCCTGGTAATACAGTTGCCGCATTAGATCTTGGTGGAGGTTCTACACAAGTGACTTTTTCACCTGATTCCACACAGGTATAATTAAATAAATGATATAAAGAATATAATTTTAACATAAAAAAATATGGAGTAATAAATATAAGATAATTGAAATAATCTTGATATGGTATTTGATCAAAAATATCAAATATTCATTATCAATAACGTGAATTTTTCATAAGAAGTAGTTTTAAAATAAAAATTTTTATATTATATATAGATATATATAGATATATATAGATATATATTATATATAGATAATTAAAGATAGACATTTAAAGTTTATTTAAAATTTATTCAGGAGAAAAAACTGGATGGTCATGTATATTCTGTTAATATCTTCAACCACAATATGAGTGTTTATACACATAGCTACTTGGGTATGGGTCTTATGACAGCAAGGAAAGAGATTCTGACACATGGAATGAACCTGGATAATGTAAACCCGAAAGATGCAATTGAAGTACGATCTGAATGTGTAAATCCTATAGTTTCGACGGAATGGAATTATGGCGGATTTAATTATCTCGTTAAAGGACCCGTGAATGGAACTCATAAACTAGTCAAAACACAAAATTTTGCTGGTGGAGAAGTGGACAGGCCAATTGTCAATTTTTCAGAATGTTTAAAAATTATTGAAAAGTATGTTGGCAGAATCAAAAATAAACCAGAAGGTTTAAAAGATCACGAGATCTATGCATTTTCTTATTATTTCGATCGTGCTACAGAAGTAAATTTTCAATCAAATATAGATATATATATAAATATTAAAAACTTTATAAAAATTACAAATAGTTTTAATCAATTAATATTTCAGGTTGGTTTAGTTGATCCCTTTTTCGGTGGAGTTATTCAAGCAAGCGCATTTCTAAAACAAGCAATGGATGCCTGCGATTACCCAAATACTGATCAACCTTTCATTTGCCTCGATTTAACATTTATTTATATTCTTCTTCGCGATGGGTTTGGTTTAGAACCTACTACAAAACTTTATGTAAGAGTATATTTTTACTTTATTTTATTTAAAAAAATTTAAGTATATACATATATTAAATATGTTATATCAAATGTATATATTATTTAAGTATATATATTAGATTATTTTATTTCATTAGGCCTTGTATTTTTTAGCTTTTTAATCATTTAAACAAATTTTTAATCCAATATTTGTTTTTTCAGCTTTATAAAAAGATTAATGGACATGAATTAAGTTGGGCTCTCGGCGCTGCCTTCAACATAATCCAAAACGGTCTTTAACACATCTGAAATATAGGAAAAAGAATTACAAATATTTTTACACAAAATTCAGAAAATTTTTTGAATTTACAATTTACCTAAATATTTAATCTAGATAAAAAAATGTCAATCTATTCTCACGTTTTTTTATTTTTATTGTAATATGCTCAGTTACTCGAGTTTACATTCTTATTAATGTATTTATACTAGTTGTTATATGATGCTTTGTTATTTATTTGGACATTCTATTTTGAGCAATTGCAGTATTAAATAAAATTAACGTGCGAATTAAAATAAATCATTCTTAAGATTTTATATCTTAATAATTTCTAGAAAATGAAGTGACTTAATGTATATATAAATTATTGCAATTAATTGTCGTTTCTGTGACACGTCGCAATTTTATATATATTATTCAAGAATGTGTATTCTTAAGCAAGAGATATATTTATATTTTCTTAAAAATTTCTGATATAAATAATTAATGCGTATTGTGAATTTTAAATCATGTTTTTCTTTAACTTTTTTCTAGCACAATTTTTTACAGTAACACATTAGATTATATTACTTTTTAAACTATTCAAATTATATTTTATTCTTTGAAACAAACTTGTTTTGAACAGTGTTTAAGCAATTTTCAATAGTTTTATGATATATTGAAAATATTTATACAAAAACTTAATCTTTTTAATTAATAGTACTTTGTGTCATTTGGTCACTACATAAAGTTTGTTCATTGTTTTTTGTTTTAATAAAAAAATAGACATTATTATAGTGAATAAGAAATTTTTCAAAAAATAGAAATCCTTCATTATTACATATTAATGAATAAAACTTTTGCAGTGATCAAATATTCAATTTCGTTCAAAAAAGACAGTTTATATTCCGACAAGTGCAATAATTGCACGATCGCACAATTAATAATTGTATAAAAGTATATTTTAACAAATTATGTTATGTTATAACAACTTCGTCAAGTACTTAAAAATTTTTCTAAGTACATGCAAATTAATATTTAATAAATAACAAAAGATTTATTACGAATATTTTTTTTTACCAAACTATTTTGTAGATATATTTTAACGGTATTATTTTAAAATAACAAAATATAAAAAATGATAAATTATGAAATTGAATTGAGGATGAAGAGTACAATACTTTATTTCAAACACTTTTATAAAAATATTTTGAAAAAATTTTATTATATAAACTAATCTATATAATAGAAACTGCTTGTACTTCAAAAATCAATTAAGTAGTTTCTTCGTTACAACGATATTATAGTAATGCGAAAGAAAAAGTTGTTTAATACATCGATATATGTATATCTTTATTTTATTATGTACCAAATATAATATTGTCACATATTGTGCGACATAACTAAGCAGAATTAGATAATTTTATATAAAATAAACTTAACTACTACTTATATGCATACAAATGTGTAATGAGTACAATTTTAATCTTAATGGAATCGTTTATAAATCATTTTCTTGAGTCACAGGTCAGCAATCGTGTTTCAATTTACTTTTCTCAAATGTTGCACGGTGCGATAACAACTTGTTGGCGACGACGAAACTTGTGAATTGATAATGCTAGAGAATCATGAGACAGTTGGGTACAACGCGTATATGCGGATAGTGAAACAAGGAAGAAGATCTAATCGAGTGAAAGCTAAGGTCAAAAGGCCAATAAACGTTCCCGGACGAGCCGATAAGCTGCATAATAGTAAAATACCAGTTGCATTTCTCTACTTTCCTTTTTCTTATTCGACATGTACGATGTCATGTAACCTATACTATACATATCGACTGAGAATATTGATTGATTTTCGTTCGTAAAGCCGCGTTCAGATTTACCATGTTACTTTAATTCGAGTTTCTTTTTCTCACTCTCTCAAAGTGACAATGACGGAAGCGGTTACACAAATTTGCATAGAAGTGTTAATTACAATTAAGAATTACAAAAAAAGAACTTTGTAATTTACTTTGTATACAGTATGTATAAGATCTCTGCTTTTTTTCTTACAGAAGAATATTTAATACTAAAACTATCAGAATGGGCTCAAAAATTTTACAAATTACAAATTAGCGGTTTGCCGTTGATATTAATGAAATTTTGCAAATTTATAAATTACAAGTCATCTGATCATTATATTTGATGCAAAATTGAAAGAGAAACCTGAGAGAAGTTTACAACATGTAAGTTATAAATTGTGTAATACTGAATTATTATGCAAAAAAGTTCAAGTTTACATTACTTTACATTACATTGGTATTTCGAATTATTTAAATTCAAAGTCGATATTCATTAAATTGTTAGTGGAGAAATTTGTAACTAATTGTAGGATAAAAGTAACTACTAATTAAACTCGGTAACTTTGATAAAAAATTCAACAAGTGGGTTCAATAATTATTATCCATTCTTTTAAATATTAATTGTAAAATCCCAGTTTTCAATGTATTATCTACAACACTCCTTTGATTTAATTTGACATAGTTTTCATGTTTCCATTTCATATTTGCTTCATCGTTATCTTCGTTTGTAGTCTTTCGAGAGTGAATTTCGATTCATCTAACGATTAAATATCGAAGAAAGTATACGAGAGTGATTTTTCTCGATTTCTATAACCTCTTTATAATTATTTGTGGGATATAATAAAACACTGGAAAGTGTGGTATCTGATGATTGAAGTTCATTCATTGTTAATTACATTTAGATTGCTATTTAATAATTAAATTAATGATGAAGCAATTAGTGATTTGTTCTACGCACGTAAGTATCTTATTCTATATATGTAGTTGTTTTCGTATATATGTATAATCGTGTATAACTTTTTTGTTAAACTAATCAACTTTCCCAACGAGAGAGCAGAATTTCCTAAGAATTAAATATTAAAATAATAATATTAAACAATGAAATAAAAGTATCAAATATTACTAATATGATCCCTGCGTTTAAAATGATCAACCAATGGCGATGACGCTGTACGTGACTTATGATCATTCGCTACGCTTCATTTTCAAAATGAAAATGAATGCTAGACGAGGTCTACAAGGTGGAATGTGCAGTACATACATATCTGCTAGAAGCAATCCCAACTGCCTATGTAGCTAGCATTTTCCCTCAGTTCCAATTTCAACACGTTGACTTTGCGAAATTTTCGAGAAGATTAGAAATGAAATATCGAGCTTAATGTACATATAATTCAGTATATTTCAGCTCGTTAAAGAAAAACTTAAGAAGAGGAAGTAACTAACGTCTAAGATTTATGAGATTTAAATGAACATGACGAGATTATGATTATTCAGATGATATTACACGTTCAAAGAAGAAAAAAGAATTTTACAACCAATCAATCCTTTCGCTTACATCAAGTAAGGTAAAATATTTTCATAATATAAACTTAATCAAAGTAAAGGATTTTAATCTTGAATATTTTCTCATTGTTTTATTTTGTTTTCGAAGCCTCTTTTTTATTAATAAAAACATAGTCAATGAAAAATAAAAGGGTTTGTAATATATTAACAAATTCATAGAATATACTGACATTGTTTACTTTTATATAATATTAATATTGTAAACCTTGTATAATTTAAACAATTCAGTGTTTGAATCAACAATGTTTTAATGATCAAATGATCGATATCAGTGGCGATAAAATGTTCTCCACTCTCTGTAGCAGCAAAAAAGAAAGACATAGAATAAATAAGAATAGGAAGGAGAATAAGGATAACTTAGCGGTATGAATCGAAGGGAAAGCAGAATGCGTTAGCATCGTGAAAGGAAGAAGAAGGAAACGAAAGCGGGCTCTCTCTCACGTTCTTACGCAGCGGAGAAGATGCTCTCGTAAGAAATCTTACCTGCGAAACCCTGGAAAACTATCGAGAAAGAAATAGGGGAGGGGGTAGAGAAGAGCAACGTCTGCCAAGAGGCAACTTTCACATGATCACCACGTGAATCCCCTTTTCAGCTTCCTGGAACATCACGGGATCAAGAGTATCGTTACTATATTGTGAGGCACAAACACAAGCAACTTGAAAGGTCATTCCTCGACCTCCTTTGAAAAAATTGGAACGAATTTCGATCTAGCCTCTTTATCTTTTTCCTTCTCTCTCTTCACTCGCTTTATAGCAACAGTTCAGTTACCCCTATAGTTAAGGAAATCTCCGATTTACCTTCGATCTTTTCCTTTCTTTGCTATATTATATACATGTATGAGAATTGTTATTAATACAAATTATTGCTCTATATAATAATAATCTTTTTATAATAATCATTGAATTAATTACTTCTTAATATGTTAAAACATTTATCAGTTCATATTCAAACATAATTTTTACTTAATTCACGCACACGGTTAATGTGCTAAATCAAGTAAAAGCAAAAAGATTTAGATAATATCTCTGTGTCATGATTGCCTTTCACTGATTTTCTTAACTTGTAGATTATGTTTATGGATACAAAGAGTGTACGTATGATCAAGACGGCTTTTCAGAAGATTTGATAAAAAAGGAGGAAAAATGGAAAGTAGAAGAGTGGTGTTAGTTCTATTAGTTACGTGAGTATAATTATTAATTGAGTTCATTTATTTGAAAGAAATGAGTAATAGTTTAAGAATTAACATATATCGTAATAAAAGTTTCGATATAGGATGAGAAATTTCGTTAGGACTACTTCTTTTATGGAAATTATTTATTTTAAGGATACCTTGTATTCAGGCTAGGCAGAATTTTGAAATAGAAAGCGTGTACTGCGATGAGTAATACTGAAAAAACTACTGAAGTGAAATTGCCAGCTGAACATTGGCCTGTGAATAAGGTAAATGTCTCAACAAAAAACAAGATTTTCGAAACCAATGACATTACAAATATTGGAACCTGGGTAAGTCAGGTAGTAAAAGATTCATCAATCCAGCGGTTTATAATAATATCCTTTGGTGTTACAAGACTTATCACTTCACACAAGTTGCACTTTCTCTTTCTCAACGACCATTAAAAGCATTAATTACACACCCCTGGCTGGATAATTCAGGGAGGAAGGAAAAAGCTAATGAAACAAAGCTATTAAATATGGCGGCCGACTTAGAAAAAGCTGGCGTGGAAAAGATCGATCGTCCGTTTAAAGAGGAAGGCGTCGATTTCCGCGTCTTCTTCGGGAAAGGCGTCGTGACGCAAGCTAGAGAAACTTTCACTATTCTTAAACAGCCACTAATCAAGATGAAGACTGTCAGGTATATGCTTTCCTCTCTTCTCTTTTTGTCACTGAAGAACGTCCCTGAGGTCAAACCTTCCTGACAAACCTTGTAGAAATGAATTGCTGCTGATTGCTGAAACGTTCATCGGTTGATATACATATATATGTATATATATATAGATCGACATGTTTGACAAATAATCATACTTTTCACGAATTTTTTAAAATTATGATTAACTGAGTAATTGTTATCTATTATTTCCTTAGACGCAAATCAATATTAAAACATATACACATATGTCCATAGTTGTAATAACATGAGTTATGTATTGCACGCAGTTTAGTATACGTCTGGCTAAAGTACACATTCTACTGACTATTTGGAGAGATAATATTTGTTCAGTGAATAAATTACTTAAGCGTTTGTAGTGGTCTTTTTTTCATTAACAAAACGAAAGAAATTGAAGAAAGGCGTTTGTCCTTTACCGAATTTCTGTGTGTGTATATATATATATATATGTACAACATACACGTATCTGTTGATTTTTAGAGCAATCAATTATTGTATATATAATACCATAATGATATTCACTTTTATATTTAAACATTTAACTGTCTTTAAGATGATCAGTTTATCCACAATTGAATACGGTTGATATAGACGTTTTTTGTGCGCTCACATGATGAAATACATACGTGACGTGATGCGTTTATGCGAATAAATCAGGTTCGTGGACCATAGAACACTTGGTTTCTCACATACGGTGGCATGGGCCAGAATTCATCCTTGTACATAATGTTTTAGGCTTTAGACGAAAAGTCGTTGCACAATACACCGTTTATACGCATCACACAAAGAATTAAACCGTACGCTGGATTGGTTTCTCTTTATTTTCGCGAACACGTTACTTCTAGATTCGAATAGAAATTATTTACCATATGATTAACGCAATCGCGTACTTTCGAAATATTGATTTGAAGATTTCCTTTAATATTTAGCTAGAGACTAGTGCGAATAAAAATGTTTTAACGTGTTTTCTGTTTGCATTTAATTTACAGAATATTGTACTAATATAGTATTATTGGTGTTTTCTTGGATGTTCTATTCTTTGACTAACTAATCTGATTTAAATACATTTTATTCAATTATTACATCATATTAAAATATCCATTATTTAAAAAATGTTAATTTGCAGTATAAAGAGTTCAGTATAGTATTATTTTAAAAGAGCTGAAGAAATTTGATGAATTTTCATGGGGGAAAAATCTTGTAATTATTTTTAACCTTTTTTTAAAGAATACGAATTTCAGAAGAATAAAAGTTTCATTTTACCTTTATCCAAAATATGAATCTCATACGAACTAAATCACAGAGTTTAGCAATCGACTCTTAAATGTTGAATGCGGTCAGTTCTTGCCGCATATTTTAATGACTCCGTGTCAATTTAGACTTTCCTTACACGTGTTCCTGTGAATATGAAGAAATTAATGTGAAACGTGATTTCATGCAGCTAAATTTTCGTATTACGTGACAACCGATATACATATATAGCTATAGTACACAGTGAGATTTTTAAAAAAATCTCTTCTAAAAATTTCTAAGCTTCTATCTATCCTTTGTTATACTTATTACAATTATCGTGTTTTACACAATGTACAAAGGCGGAGATTACACTAAGAATGCAATTTCAATTACATTTCGTGTTATCTGAAAGTTACGAGATCGTTAGTTAAAAGTTACTATCGCCATTATCATTAGATAATCACAGATCGCGTGCGCGATTGTCGTCATTAATTTTTACCTCAATTGTCATAACTATCATTTTATAGTTGCATCATCATAATTACGGATATTATTGTCATTATTGTACCGTGATGTTTTTTACGACGTTAAGCAGCTCCTATATCTGAAGGTTTTAACTTCAGAACAACAGAATTAAACAAACTATCAACATTCAAAATTAAATAAAAATGTACTGCATTTTGATTTCAGTTTTGTTGTATTCTTCGAAAGTCTGTCTTACTTTTGATAGAAAGCCTGTTTTGACAAAGGACGATGATTTTTTTAAGGAAGACTATTCTTGAAGGATGATTTCACAGGCGACTTTCTCTGGCCCTCTTAAACAAGCGAAAAGGAGCACAAATAGAAATTGAAAGTTCACGATGCTCCATGTGAGATGGAGATTCCACGAAGATTAATCGGACGTGTATATCTTTACGTTGTTCATAAACTAAAATAAGTATTAAACAGAAGATCGTTTGTAAGTTGTATGCAGATAATTAATGTAAAATTAATTTTGGACTATAATTGTTTTTCATAAGTGATCTTATAAAATCGTTCACACTAGTAAACTAGTGAAGTTTAATTTTCGATGATTGTTTGAAGCACGCATAATTTTCAAATTCTCTATTTTCTCCTATCCAAAATTTAGATTTTAAGTAATTTAAATTTTTGAAAAGTTAGAAGACTCAACTCTAGCACAACGAAGGGTCAAGGAATAAGATTAATGAAAATATCGTGATTTTTATGTAAAAATACATAAAAAAAGCTTTATTTCGCCACCGTTTTCTTGCAAAAAGTAACGTATAAAAAAACATTTAATCCTAATCATCGTCGTCGTCGTCGTCGTCTTGGTTACCGTGTTTCTAACTTTTGTTAGAACCACCATCATCATCATATTCGTCATCATCATCATCATCATCATCATCACCATCATCATCGTGATCGTCGTCATTATCATCATCGTCGTTATGATTGTCGTCATCATCCTAGTCATCACGGTCATCGTCATGATCGTGGTCACATTATTCTTATTAATCGTGTAACTCCGAATCGCGAGCAGGAGCCTCGTGTTACTATCGATTGTCCACTCGATTGTCCTGTTCCTGCTCGTCACCGCGGTCGTCCACGTGGGATCACAGTGTATCGCGTCCAATAGGATCGCAGTTGAGCCGTGGCTGAAGCCGTGGCCAAAGCCGTGAATGCGTGCGTCTCGCGGAGCGTAAAGGTAAATTCGAGTACGGGTGGAGGAGAAGTTGTGGGGATTCAACGGGCATTTTGAGTGACTAGTAAGGCCCTGAAGCACCGGGAGCTCCGTAAGACGTGCTGGGTCCACTTGGTCCGCTTCCACCATGACCGTCAAGTCCTCCGCCTCCTCCGATACCGCCACCGATTCCTCCGCCGATTCCTCCGCCGATTCCTCCGCCGATTCCTCCGCCGATTCCTCCGCCAATTCCACCACCGCCGCCGCCACCACCAGTAACTTCCTTCTGTAATTCGTACAATATTGCTATCAGTTTTGATTGATTTTTTTTTCAGATTCTATGCACATTAAGTGAAAATGGAAATTACGACACAATTGTTGATGATCCGTTCTTTTGAAAGATGTCGAGGCTGGTAGAAAATTTGAAGAAAAAGTATTCTAAGTGTCGATACTGTTTCTTTAATTTAAATAAGAATCAAAATATTGTACTGCAAGACAGGTATTTATATTTTCTATGAACTTGTTGTTCTTTGAGTTCTTTGTGTCGCAATTGTTTTAATAATAAAAATCCAGAATTTTGATGCGATTATTAAAATGAAACAGAGACATGTGATCAAACAATCAATAGAACAAAACTTTTAAAATAAACAGGTTTTATAGGAAGAATACTAATTTACTAACTTTACTGAAAATTGAAAGATTGCTTACCTGTGTCTTGTATTTGATGAAGTAAACTTCCGGTTTGCTTGGTTGAGTCGGAGCAATGGTAGGCAAAGTGATTTCTGGTGCTTCTTCCGGTTTCTTAACCAACACATAGATCAATGTCTTCTGTTCATCTTGCTGAGGAAGAGCAGGAATGGCAGGAGCGGTAGGAGTTGGCGGAGTTGGTGCCTTGATGAAAATGATCTTGTAGTGCTTCTGAGGTGGGGGTAGTGGTGCGATGGGTCTGCTCGGTCTGTCTTCCGGTGCTTCTGGTGGTGGTACGTGTACGTAGATGTGCTTCTGGATGAGAGAACCACCTCCGAAACCACCGCCTCCTCCAGCACCTCCACCGAATCCACCACCAAATCCACCGCCACCGCCGCCTCCGATACCACCACCAAAGCCTCCACCGAATCCACCGCCGAATCCACCGCCGAATCCACCACCGAGTCCACCGCCAAGTCCACCACCGTGTCCACCGCCAAGCCCTCCGCCAAGTCCGCCACCGAGTCCACCGCCTATCCCAGTGGATCCACCTCCTGGTGCTCCGTAACTGGAGCTAGGCTGAGAGTAAGAGTAGCCTGCTTCTGGCCGTGCCATCACCGAAGCGGCGAGCATCACGATCTGGGAACAGAAACGTATTTAACAGATCAGTATTGATGAATTTGATGAACAATTTGCGAATAGTCATGTTAATTCAAATTTTTATGAATAGAATCCAAAGGAATCAGAAAGAATGTTGAGAAGAGATAAGAAGATAATAATTGGATGCGAGGATAGAATAGAGGAGTAGAAAAAGAGAGTAAAAATATGGAACAGAAGAGTAAAGGTGGAAGAATGAAAATTAATATAGGAAAATAATCGATGAAACGTAAACTAATGGAAACGCAGTAAAAGAAATGTCGAATCACATCGAATTAGAAAGTTCTTCTTGTACTTTCATAATCGTGCATCTTGATATGATTATCGAATGCATGGACATCAAACACAACTGCATTTGCCTGCGTCGACATCATTCTCACTCTTCTTTACTTTCTCTTTCGTACCATCTCTCTTTCTATATTCTCCACAAATTTCAATTCTCTCTCATTTCTTCCCCCTATTTATCTATCTATCTGTCTATCTATTTATTTATTTATCTATCATTTCTTTGACCTTTACCATCATACGGAGACAATTGCTTGCGATTCATCGTACATTTCTCCCCGAAAGAATGAACGAGACAAGTAGGGATAGCTAAAATTGTAGTCAATTCGCAATTGTAATATTTCGGATTCCGTTTCGGAAACAAAATTAAGTCGTAAATCGTGGAAGGAAGTAGCAGTGGTTTAACTGATATTGACAATTCTCAGCCTTCCATGCGAGCGCGATGCCAATGAAGAATTTCAAAGAAAGGGAAGAAGGAAAAGAAGAAATGAGGAAACGAATAATGAAAACAGAAAATGAAAGAACGAAGAAAGAAGGGGGAAAAAAGGAATAGGCGATAGTCGACAAATAGACACTGTCTAAAACGTTGCGGGACGGTAGCAGGAAGAGGATGTAGAAGGAAAGAGACCAACGAATAGACGAGAAAGATTGGACTCACCATGAATGCCCTCATGGTTGCTGCTGTTCCTTGGATTTGAGGACTGATGCTCCACAGATGTTACGGTGCCCCTTTTATACCAGACCTGGCCCCACTCGTATCTCGACCCATCACCTATGCTGATGAGACCGTTGGTGAATCTCTCTCTCTCTCTCTCTCTCTCTCTCTCTCTCTCTCTCTCTCTCTCTCTCTCTCTCTCTTTCTCCGCTGTATCGTCGATTTTGCTGAACATTTTTCCTCATACAGTACGAACTTGACTTATTAATGCTTTTCGGATTGAGATCGACTAACCTTTCTTGAACCTTGGTCCCTTTTAAGATTCGTTCATTCAGGATCGGAGGTGGCTAACATTGCGAGGTGATTGCCGATTTTTTTGGTCGAATAGAAGATAGGCACTTTCTAATGCTCGCAAGTATGACTCCTGTGTGGCGTTTTAACGCAAAGAATACGAATTTGCATCATGGAGACGTGATGGTGAGCCTTTTTTTCACAATTATCCAACTTTTCGGAGATGACTATGAGTCAGATCCTATTTATGTTGAATTTTCTTGTGGATACGCGGAATGTTAAAAACGGCGTAATTAATAATCACTTAGCTGCTGGTTTTCATAAAAAAAAGTTGAATTCGTTTCTTTATTCGAAGCTCGTGATAAGTGGTATCCTTCAGCTTTTTAAGGATTAAGTATAATACATTCGAGACTCGACGATCGAATCGAAAGCATGAGTCAGCGATTTTGATGATCGTTGATCTTTAAATATTTGATTAATGGTTGTAAAGAGGTTTTCTCTGCAAATCTATAGTAACTGAACGCAATGGCTGCGAGATGGTCGCGAAAGAAGAAGAAGAAAAAAGAAAGTACCGTGTTCGCGTATTCGCGAAGAAAAATGATTTGGGTCAAATTCATTTTCGAGGTTCCCTTTCTCTGTTCGAGGACGAGACTTCCCCGCAGGAAGTGGAAGACTTTCAGTTTCGTAATGTGAAGATGCGCGCGATACTCCTCCCCGGTGAACCGATGTGACCGGATGATTGTCATAAATTGTTTTCTGTATTTTGATTCAGATCATCAAACAGAAACGCATCGCACCGCTATGGCTTGAAAGTGGCATTCGCTGTTAGTTCAACGTAATTATCGCTTTAATTTTCACCTGGCAGCACTCAATCTCAAAGGTTGACGTTGCAGCAGTTAGATCATCTGATTTTAAGGTGCCTGATGTTAATTGTTAATAATACAAGAAGAATTTGAATGGAAGGAGTTCTATAGAGTTCTATATTTAGCGAAGGTTGTTTGTTATATAATTAAAATTGAAAATTGTATTTATAAGTTTCAATTCCTCAATTCTGTTCCAAAAAATATAAATTTGTGTAAGTATGCAAGGTTTAATTAGATTAGTAAAATAGATTAGATAGTAGACTTAGATTGTACGTTGTTATATATTTTGCTCGTTGGTGATTTAATTATTAAATTCTTTATTATTTTTAATTTGGAATTGCAATTTGAAAGCACTATGACACCAGCGAGATGAGAACCGCTGACAATACGGAATCGCTAAGAAAAGCGTACGATTTTAATCGCGGGGTTTGTGCTCTCTGGGCTCTGGGACATTGCGAACAGATACCACGAGTAACAACGACCGCGTAAGTCTGGTGAATGGGAAAAGGAGAAGCTCGTTATATACATGTGTACATATGTATGGCTGTATACATTAGTACAAACGCGTATCATTGCGTTGTACACGCTACTGTTCAAAAGTATCGTATCGGACACTTGCTTATTTTCGACAACGTGTATTTTAATTACAAGATTAATTAAGATTACGGTCAAATCAGACTACAATGACCAATTTGCAATTCATCATGGAAATTTTATAAATTTATAACGGTTTCTCCTATTCCTTGCACTTTTATCATCGTCATCATCATCTCTCCGATACAAATTTTACACTTTTGATTGTAGATAGTTCTTTAGAAAAATTTACTGTATCTTTATTACCATTACAGAGTGTTCGGATAGTATACATATAGTGTGGACCAGTCAACGGCGGATGTCCCACTAGGAGAACAAATCGCTCGGAGGTAGAAAGGTTCGTAGGTACTTGGATTCTTTCCTTCGATCGAAATGCGGAACGATCATGGGAACATGGAGTAGAATCCGCAAGCGGATAAAAAGCGACAGCATTAGAAAGGGAATTTTCAGCAAATCGAAATTCAACCGAGTATCTAACAAACGCGTGGAAATTGTTTTCCTTTGTCGTACATTTTCTTTTTCTCTTTCCTTTTACATGCGCGTTACGTCAGAGTACAACCTTCTCTTAAAGGTAAATCTTTGAAATCTTTAAACACCGAGTTTAAAAATTAAAGAAGAGAGAGAAGTTAAACGTATAGATTTTTGAACAATTTAATTGAAGAAAGTGGAAATGATAATAAATAACTTTTTTCTTTAGCTACATTTGTCTGCGTATAAAATGATAAAAAATAATGAGTGATAGTATATTAGAAAGCAGTAGATCGAAATTTAATGTTATTTATATCTACGTATTATGTCGCGTAAAAATATCGTTGTTCCTTCGCTATATATGGTCATTTAGCTGTTTAAGGACCATGACAAATGACAGAAATGGAAACTCAGTCGCTCATTTGCCAAATCGATTAACTTCACCAAACAAAAAAGTAGAGGAAAGTGGTAGAATAGTACACATCATTTATTATCTACTTTTCCACTTGTCAAAAAAATTTTTGTTGTCTTGTAGTGCTAAGTCTGATATTAAAGGAATTTATTTCAAATATAAAAAGCGAAAGGAGAGATAATCAAATGTTTTAATACTAAAATTCAAAAAGTAGAATTAACCGACTTCATTTTTGTGTACCCCTTATCTTAATAATTATTTTTTTTCACTCAGCTACTTCTTCATTATTTTATTTTATTCGTGATTCCCTACATAATGTTACATTAATATAAAATAATAAATAATTTTGGACTTTATGCAGAAAAACGAGAAAAATTGGAAATTATTTTATCACTCAATGGATTTAAGAGTGAAACTTTTTCAAAGATGAACCGCAAAGAAGCGTAACTACGAAGAATGCATGTGAAACGGTCATGGGAACATGGAGTAGAATCTTAAAGATAATAAAAAGTGACAGTGTGCTAGAAAGGTAATCAAAATTCTAACAGCTTGCGAATTGTATCGAGTCCTCTTCCTTACGACTTTTTTTTTGTTTTGAACATTAAAATTGTTACCAAAATTCTACAAGTAGTGCAAGTAATTTCTCTTAATTAAATACAAATACATATCAAAACATGTGTTTGCATAAACGTAGGTACGTATATATAAACTTTCTTTTTCTTTCTTTATCCAAAGAAATGTAAAAATAATTCTTAATGTCATACCTTACAATCTCTTTTTTAGTGCCATGATTGAATCATCAATTGGACGTATTTATAATATTATGTCTATTCTGAGATTCTTTGTGCTCTTTCTATTTCTTGAAACGAAACTGACAAAAGATTTCACTTTTGTAAGCATCTGTAATTGCAATTGCATTCATTATGTTCACAGTATACGGAGATTTATTTGACCGTGATTCCGTTCAGTTTATCTTCGGCACACGTTTACTTACGTCCAAACAGTCGTATTTCTTCTAGCACAATTTGAAATGCGATGGAACACGATGTGCATACGTAAGAATGTATTGTGGCAAAATTTTCCTACCAAAACAGATTTTTCATTTTATATTCTAAAAGCAATATGTTACACAACTCTATTTCCAATTCTGATTCTAACAAATAGAATGAAATTAAATACTAAATGGAGTAAATGGATGTTTACTCTGGAAATAGAATGAAAAAACAGAATTCTGAATCAAAGTGGAAACAAAAGTAGTAATAAAAATAGAAAAAAGGGAAGAAATAGAAATAATTTCGATGTAAGTTTTTGTTTTTTACACTTTTAATTTTCGTTAATTAATCGTATTATATTCGATATTCTAATGTAAAAATAATTTTAAATGCGAGTGTAGCAATTTGTGAACAGTCATCTTTTGCTCTTCACTAGAAATATAATTCATCTTTAGTTGTGAAAGATCTCGTAATCTTCACTATGTTAATGAGACTGTTATATGTTGTATAAGGCACACTTTATGTCAAGTAAAAGAGTCCATAAGTGTAGAAATGTCGAGATCGATATCGGAGATGAATGTAGAGAGATGTTTAAACAAAATTTGAAGATCGTCAAGTTAATTGAAATAAAATAAGATTAGAAATTGTTAGAAATTCTTTCTGCAAAATAATAACTACCAAATTTTCAAAATTCAGTATGTGTATAGAAATTACAAAATATTGACTGCAAGCTCGTATCAAAGATAATTTTTCAGACTAATTTTAAATTTTACTTAATATTGTAATCATTATGCTGTAGACGTTTATTGCAAATTTATATTTTTATGAATATAAAGTTTTAAAAAAATGCAACTTAAGTAGAAAATTGTTTCATCTACATATATATATATATATATATATATATATGTACAATGAATATTCTATAGTAGGTAATGATAAATTTTCGTAACTCAGTGCAAAATCTTAAAATTTAAGAAAATGTTTAAGTCTTGAAAATGTGAAAAATACTTATAAAAAAATAGGATGACAAAGAAACAGAACGCAGGAGCAAGCATAATTGTAACGATGTCGAGATCACCTGATGGAACAAAACTTTGTTTTTTTTTCTTATCAGATCTGTATGTGAAACGAAGTCATGGGAAAACCGGAGTAGAATCTCAGAGAGCTAGAACCGCCTTACAAAAGAGAGACATCGCGAGTGCATTGGAAAGGAAATTTTATGGCAACAGAACTTGTCAGCAATGTTTACCGGCCTAATGAAATTTCTTATACAGTGGACGTTCCAGGAAAGGTCTAGGAAAATAAAGAGACTTTTCTACTGATTAAGCTATTAAGAAAGAAATTGAAGAAATTGTTTGATAATAAATAGTGACTATATGATGGAACTCTAAATGTTTAACTAATCTTGCAGTTTCCAAAGATTCAAATAAGACCAAATTTTACAATTTTGCAACTCGCAAAATGCATCAGACATAAAAGATAAAAGCTAAACGCACATTAATTAAATTTTAAAAAGAAGGAACTAATTAAACCCTTGAGGTAAAACTTCCATTCTAAAAAGAAGGAACTAATTAAATCCTTGAAGTAAGAACATTTCCATTAAAACGCAATTCAGAAACCAGTCCGAACTAACGAAGCTCTACTAAGACGACTCCATTCCCACGCAAGAACGATTATATCAACTAAATTCAACAAATCCCTGATCAGACACCAACTTAATGAATCTCATCGAAGCTACAACGAATCTAGTTTCCATCGCAGACAGTTGTCCATTTATTAAACGGTACGTGCAATACTACAAATCATGTTTCATATTCTTAATTACACAAGCTGGTCACAAATGGATTGTAATTTTTCATGGAAGTTTCATAGAATGAAAGAATCATTCAAATGTATAAATAAAAGCCTGTGTACATATGTAATATATATATATATATATATATATATATATATATATATATATATAATATTTTATATTAATATATTATGTATTTTATATTTTTCCTATTAGTTTGCAATGTTTTTCTATACAAGTTTTTTTATGCTTACAGTATACTTGCACATACAATATCATTCTTATCATTATTTTATAATTCAGTTACGTTGCGATTGTTTCTAACGAGAATCCTTGAAAACGAATGCTTGAAAATGAACATGGACAACATGCCGTGCCATGGAATGAAAGAGAATCGAGAAACTAAAGCTTCTGGAGCTGAAATAGTCATGCAATCGTTACATCAACTGAGGCAATTGGCAAGGATCTACTTGTCCTTTAATGGACCATGCAGTCGATGTTCTCTCACTTTATAAAAACCACTTGTTATCCTTCGTAACATACGAAGTGTAGCCTGATTTCTACAATTTAACGTGTCGCTTATACTAATAACAACTTCTTCTGTTCGAGCACCATGCTGCGAAATGTTATACAGAACGAACACCAGGAAAAATCATTTTGACATTTTTATTTTTAACAGTAGATAGAAATTTTCGTGCTTGAGAGATCATTAGACGATTATTTAAATAATATTGCCAAACGATGTTGCCAAACGATATTGAAAGTCGAGCGAGATGCTTCATTCATTAAAGCAATCACTTGGCTGCCACATTATTAGAAACACGTATACATTCTGTAAAAAGCTGTGGCACTAACGTAAGCTAACTGACGTTAACTTTTTAAGAGCAATCATTACGGAAAATTACGGAATTAATGGAACAACAAATCGTATAATTATTGGTCGTTCAACTCTGTTCAACGAAATTTTTTTCTGTTTAATATTATTTATTAAGCAGACTTGCACCGTTAAATATTATTAATTGTAGATAACGAGTAAATGTGATTGATGTTTAAGTCATTTATTGTCAACAATTCTAAAATACATTTAAATATTCAGAGTGTTTCTGGAAGATGCTATATAAAATTATTTGGAGCTCATATAGTCACGCAACTGTGCTACTTGCTGTGTAAAATTGATTATTATGCACAAATAGTTTTTAATTTTGTAACAACAAACGCGCATATTTAATCAACATTTAAATTAATTTTACATATCTAAAATTATTAAATTAACTATTTTATTATTTTATTGTATCAGTATTTCATTGTATCAATAAATATATGATAAATAAATTATTAATGATACTAATTCAATAAATAATGATAACAAAAGCAAAATCAAATTCAAATATACCTCTCGACAGATACTTTAATAATTTTCGAGATATGAAATAAAAGAAGTTCCTTCATAGATTGGATTGCATAATTATGGCCTCCAATTATTTTTTCAACTGCGATCAAGATCAATTTTAATTCAAATTTCGAATTAAGCTTACGAGAATTGAAATATTATTCCCGCCAATGCTTCGATCTATTGAATAGAATTTGCAAGTATTTATATAAGCATTTTATAGACCAAATGAAACATAGGAAGAAAGCTGACGGTCTCATTCTGACGATATAATCGCAAAAATTTATAAATTTATCCCCTTAGTTAATCTTTTTTGCAAATGAAAATTTTTTCATTTATGAACATTGAAATGCTAGCGTCGCGTAGCGGTGAAATCGTGAACTAAAATATGTTGCTTTCCTTGTCACACAATATGTCCTTCTTTGTCAGGCGCGCGCATGTATATCTGTCTTTGTCGCACAGTATCTCTCTCCTTGTTTGACGCGCAAACATATCTCTGTCCTTGTCGCACACTATTGCTCTCCCTGTCTATGAACAAGTGCTGCCATCTATCGGATTTTTCCAATTTGTCCTTTTAGTTCCAATGAAAAATAAACTGGCTCAGATGGCGGCACCATTCGTAGACAAGGAACGCACTACTGTGCGACAAGGATAGAGATAGCCATTAGTTCCACTGCTTCACCGCTATGCGACGCTAGCGTTTCAGTGTCCATAAATCGAACAAATTTTCAATTGTCAAATAAACTAATTTAGGGGATTAATTTGTGAACTTCTGCGATTGTACTTTCTTAATTAGACTCCCAACTTTCTTTTCATGCCCCATTTGACTTCTAAAATGCCCAAATAAGCATTTTTAAAATTTATTGGTACCAGTAGTTTAACGCTAGATGGCGCCACCATGCCCAAAAATCGAACAATTTATTCTAAATGCAATTAATTAATTAATTTCATAACAAATCGGTATAATATTTTGCAAAGAAGTTTTTGTAAGTTAATTTGATTTCTGGGTAGTTTAAAAATTCGGTTTTTAGATTGATAAAATTTGTTTCCCTAATTATACTATGGAGAGGTTAGTTCCACTTTCACAAATTTTGATTGGTAAAAGAATTAAACAGATTACTATATGAACTTTTATAATTTTATTCTTATAGTTCTTTTAACATATGTAATGATACAGATAAAGATTGAAATAAATCAAAATACTTGCTTTAGTAGCATTTAATTTTTTAGCATACTATATTTGAAATTCAAAAATTTCACTCAAAATTATCTGTAAACATAATTAATGGAATACATGAAAGCTTTACGCACACAATCTTTATTTAATCTACTAATTATTAACAATTAATACATATTATTCTCTTAAATTCTCTTGTGTTTTAATTATCAAAATGCATATTATAGACTTTTAAACATTTTACTACTGATTCAATTAGCTTGACAAAACCAGTATCCTTTGACTTCTCTAATCCTCTTAAAACTCTATTCTTCATTACAGCAACAAATTCTTTGTTACTCAATTGACCATCCACTAGAAATTAACAAAAAAAAAGAATGCTATTACTATAAAATTAATCAATTCTTTTATGATGTAAATTTATGATGTAAATATCCTAAAAGTCTTTATATTAGAAACTTTATACTTGGAGACTTTGTAGAATGTTACCACACACAGTGATAAAATAATGGATATTACTTGTACAATAGTATAAAGTTTAATTTAATTAATAATAATGTCAAATATTAAACACCAGATCTATAAAATAAAAATATTTTTTATATTGCATTGTGTTGTAAACTTACTGTTTTCGTCAAAAATTGTGTAAACAACTTGTATTACATGGTCACTAAGATCAACATGAGCCACTGTTTTTGCTACATGTTTTAAGGTAGCTGATAAAATAAAAATAAATATAGATTATAAATGCATTACTTGCAGAGATGACAAATATATAAAAAAGGAATTTAAGAAGTTCAATTCAGTGAAATGGAAAATTCAATTTATGAAAAATATTTTGATGTTATGACACACCTTGATCAATTGATGCCCCAGCTATGTGATAAAACGTTAATGCTGTATCTACGTCGTTAATGTTATTTAAAAAATGGAAAAATTTTAAATATTCGTCTTTATCTATTCCCTTTGGATTATCCTTAAAACTGAAAATAATACTCAAATTTAAAAATTTTTTTATTTTCATTTATAATGTTTTCTTATATACATACCGCTTTTTTACAGTTTTCCTAATTCTTGCTTTCTTTTTGTCTGGATATCCAGCATATGCAAGCAATAATTCTGTGAAATCTACTTCAGTTATTCGACCATTTTCATCAGGATTCCTTCTCTCAAACTGTAACAATTTATCTTTTTTCATTTATTGATTATTATTCTTTGTGTATATAACAGAAATTGTTGAAATGGATCTTAGAAAAAATAAAATAAACTTTTTATTATAAATGCTATGATAGATTTTATCTTATTATAAAATTTTTATTTTACTATTTATTGAAAAACATTTTATAAAATTGATATATCAATCTTTATAGAAAAGAAGCAGAAAAATATATTTGTAATAATTTTTAATTTTAATCTCTTTAGTCATGAACAAACAAATATGATAATTTAATAAAATAAATATTCAAGATTTTTAATGTAATATTTTAAAACTGACCTCTAAACTAAGTATTTCTCTTTGCAATTGCTGTTGAAACTCCAAGAATTTTTCAATAGTCAACTTTCCTTTCATATTTTGACCAAAAAAGTATGTAGTCAATGCCGAATTAACACCCTGAAAATTAAATAAAAATTACAGTTGGAACATAATTATTGAAATACTTTGTATAAATTAGACTGCTTACTGATTCCATAATTTTTTTTTGTAAATTTATATGTTATTATTTATTTGTTTCATGTTAAATCATTTTCTACCATGTGTAATGTAAATCATTTCATGTAACAATAATTTTAATACCTTGAACATATTGCCAGTAGTAACGTGATCACGATGTCGATTTCCAATGCTCGTTTGTTGTCGAATTAACGTAGCGACTTTTCCAAATTCTTCAGAATCAACATCACCATCGCCATTAAAATCAAACATTCTGAAGGCGATTTCAAAATGTCTCCTGGAAGCTGCAGAAATACTTTTTATAGAAATTTAATGTTACAATGTGTCCTATATTATATGTTATATATAAGTTAAAGAATAATGATACAAAACTGACTTACTCGATAATACAGTGAGCAAAAATATATAATCAGAGAAACTAATTAAACCAGCACTTCCAAGTTTGTAAAAGATACTATCCTCATCTAAAGCCAATTCTTTTTCCAGTTTTGTGTGAATATTCTATAAAACACATGTAATATCAATGAATACATTTAAATAAATATATACCAATTCTTAAAAGTATTTGAACATTTACTATAGAACTTTCTGACAATTACTCAATCCTGCTCAGTCTAAAATAGATTTAAAAAATTTTTTTTTCCACAAAGAACTTATATCATAAATTTGAATATTTTTCTACTATACAAATTATTCTAAAAATTGAAATATTTGTGAATTTGAATTTACCTTAGGGTCATAGCGTTTATATTTGTCCAAACCAAGCCCTGAAAATAAATTCACACTAACATGGATTAAAAATTATATGAGTAAATAATCCGGCAGATACTGAATAATTCATTGCGACACAAATAACATGAAAAGATGTATTATTACATGCAATTAATATATGAATGTTTGTGAATGTGGAAAAAAAAATTTATAAAAAAATGAATAAAAGCAAATTAATAACTTTTGCATGCTCAAGCAAGTCTTTTTTGTTACACTAGAAAATAAATCACATAATTTGGTTTTGTTTTTATTCCAGCTTTCTCTTTATTGAGTGGAGAATGTACCATGTAAATAATGGTACAATTTAAACTGGTATAATTTATACGTATATAATATAAGTTCGATTTTATTGAAAAATTACCGTCCGGTTGTTTAATACCAGGCGTTATTGATCTTAAAAAGTCATCAGGCGTCATGAAGATTTCATGGATGTCATTGTTGACCACTTGCAGAGTAGCAAAATAACGAAATACTTTGTCAGGGGTGGAATAATGTCTTATACGATTTTCGTACTCTATTATCTGTATAAGAAATCATTTTTCACATATTTAATAGAAAGATAATATAATAATATTATATAATATTCGATTTGAAATATATTTTAAAATAAATTTCGATAAGTAAAGTTCAATTCAATGCAATATTAGTGATATTCTAAATCTTTAATAAAAAGGGCTCGACATTGCTTAAAGTGAATTTAGTTTATTTATTTTGTTCATTCTTCAATTTCGTTTTATTTGTCATTTCATGTAGAATCTCCGCTTATCGATTGTATCCTAATTGTTACCATAATCCTTTGTAATATTCATAGTATATTAATTTTAAATTTTATTTTATTCGCCATGGTTTATAATACTGACAAAAATTTTATAATACTGCCAATCGGTTTTAAATTCGCTTTTTTAGAGAATTTTAGAAAGGCAAACATATATTGATTAGTATTGATAGATAAATAAATGGCTAACTATCTAGTTTGGTACCAGCAAGAATGCATAAATTGTAAATTTGTGTTAGTTTCACGCAAATATAAGAAGGAAACGTCAATTAGAAATAAACATAGATATATTATAATAAAAATAAAAAAAAAGATGTAAAAAGAAATCATAAACTAAAAATAAAATCATAATACCATCTGGTTGTCTCATGCCAGGTGTAATTGATCTCAAGAAGTCATCAGGAGTCATATAAACTTCGGTACCTTCTAAACTCGACACTTTTACAGTCGCGAAATAACGAAATATTTTATCAGGGGTCGAATACGCTCTCAAACGATTTTCGTACTCTATAATCTGCAAATATGTGTATATTTCGAAATGATAATACATAACAAATATTAACAATTCAATAACTATAATCTTTTCTTACAAAAAAGAAATTATTCATCTCGCGTATTCATCTGTTTAAAAATTACCTGTTTTGCATATTTATCATTTTTAATTGCTTATTTCATTTAACAATTGAATCAAAAAAATTGTCGAATGTTATTATATTATACAATTAATCAAATTAATCTTTGATTATTTATTATGTACATATTTAGAAACGTGTGTGTCTTTCAAAGTTAAATTTCAAAGTACACCGATATGTAACAATCGCTCAAACTTAACTTTTTCGGAAATAAAGAGTAATAAAACAATAAAATTTTATTTTATCCTATTTATTTTCAATCCCTTATAGGGCTATTTTATAATAAGATATCGTGCTAGATTAAAATTGTTTTGTTTAGAATAAATTATACATATATTGAAATTGAAATTTTGAATTCATCGATATTTCTTTTCTTACTGGTAGTAAAAAGAAGAGATAAATTTTTGTATAGAACAAAGTGAATAATTGTACAGCTTTATACCAACCTTCCGATCACGGAAACCAATTCTTTCTTTCTTCTTTTTTTTCTTTTTGTCTTCTTCGTCTATCAATTGATCGTTTTTATTTTCATCGTTCGATTCCTCCTTGGTGATCATTTCAGCTGCACTGACCGTAGACAAATATTTTTGTCTCATTCTGAAGAAAAATGTAACAAAAGTAAGATCATTTTACAGGCACATTTAATAAATTGTAAAAATAAAATAGAAAATTGACAGCGAGAAACGATACGTATTGTGAAACTCTTCTCAATCTCATGATGTATACTTAAATTTGTATGAATCTATTCTGAGAAGAATTCAAGCTGTATTGGAAGCTAATGGCAGTGCTACGTGTTATTAATAAAGAATATTCTAAGCAAAACAAGGTGTTTCCATTATTGTGTTTAACTCCTATATATGCAGGCACTATATAATTTATCAAAACAAATCCTGTATGATTCTTGCTGAATATATTGTAAAACCATTGTAAAAAAGCAACATTGCAATTTCTTTTCTATTCAGATTGTCAAATTGATTGTCTATTTTTCAACAACATTCATAAACCTGTCATAAGCAAAGATCAGCAATATTTTCTTAGCTTACCTTTTCCAAGCAATAATACCAGTGACAAAGCAAGGGATGATGAATAAAAGTGGATAGCTTTTCTTGATTTTTTCCCTCTCGCGCGGAAGGTATATAAAATTATTTCGGACTGAACATTTTTCAGAATTATTGATATTATCAATTATTAGAAGATTGCACGATTTATTAATATTTTTATACGAAACACTTTGTTTCAAAATAAACCTAACCTTATTAGTAAACATGTTTTACGTTTAGAATAAACCTATACTGGAATATTTACAATGTATGTTTAACATACATAGCGTTCTCCTTTCATACAGAGAATGTAACAACAAATTTTAATTTTAATTTACATAACACTTCTTTACGCGTGTTGTTTCTCAGTTTTAACTTTTATATTTACTTTGTGTATTGACGTTTACATTTTCTCACTTTTAAGAAGTAGCACAACATACTCGAATGCGAAAGTCAATCAACTTATCTTGAATCTTCACGCAAACTGAAGCATGTATAGATTCCTATATCTGGTTGAAATCTCAAAATCCAGTCGTCTGCAGAACTGAAAAATTTGAAAGTTGTAACTTACAACGGTGGCGCTGAAATCATATTTTACAAACGGTTCTTTTGTACGGTTCTTATGTTTCAAATATTTCTTATTGCTAGATATTGATAGATCTCTTTTTTCGGTCTTTTTACAAAACAATATTTCTCTTTCTTACGATAAGAAGTAATTAAAAAGATCGAAGAAAGATAGTACTATCTAGATTAATAAAATGATACTATTGGACAATTTTACCTTGAAATATAATTATAATTTAATAATCTGAAACTACAAATGTATTGAAGAATTTATAATAATTATTCTATTATATATTGATAGACCTTTGAAACATTACCTCTACTCTCACTCATCTTTTTTAGCAAAATATTTTACAAATATATATTTTTAACTTTTTACGTATATACTTGTAGTATAAAACATTTATTTCGATTTACATAATTTTAAAAATAATATGGAAAATTAAGTTTCGAACCAACTTTTTATTTTTGAAGAATTAATCCTTTAGTTTATTTTGTTGTGAAAAAAGTTTATGCATTTAAAAATATAAATAGATAAAATCTCGGCTATATAAAATATAAAAACACCTGTGTATTTATTTTTAAATCATTTTAAAAAATTTTCAAACACCTTTCAATAAAGAGAATATGTTTTATCGCTTTTTATTACTACACAGCTGATTGATTGAAGTATTAAATATATAAATACACGTATATAAAATATGAATAGCTGTGAAAAAAATATCTATTATGAAAATAAGATTTTATCTATTAAATTTGAAATGTCGATTTCACTTATCTCGTGTATTTATTAACTATGCAATGTCTAAAATGGCGAAGTACTGGGTGATTGTTTCTCCTCTATTATAGGTTATACGATATAATTGTAATCGTTGCAAATAGTAACAGAGTTCTATTTGGCAGGGTTATAAAAGAATATTATGATTACGTCGAAATAATTCACGTTAACATCGATTAATGCTCTAATAATAATAATAAAAAAAACGTGGATAATGGCTGAAAATGTTGTTCACTGTGATGACGAATTTGTACATTCCATCAAAACATTACTTTGGGGTAATACTATTAAAAAAGATGTATTTAAACGATGGGCTCAAGGTAAGCTTGTATTTTTATATATTTTTTTCATCATAAAAGATCTCGTAATAAAAGTTGGATTATATATATATATATATATGTATATATATATGTATATATATATATATATATATATATATATCAAAATAACCATAATTATTATCACCAAAAAATAAATTTAATTAAGATTTGATAAATACATTTCATATATATTTAATATTAGATGTAAATACAGGTATACAATACAATTATTAAGTATCTGCATATCTCAGTTTCACATTAGTATATTTCAAATTGCTTTCATGTTTTTAATATTTTTGTTCACATTTTATTTTTTTTTTATAAGGTTTTGTTTAAAAAGTATTAAAAACCTTTAAACACAAATATACTTATATATTTACATATTTATAGTTTTTTTGTCTGGATCCTTTAAAGGCAACAATTAAATTTTTGTAGGAAAAAAGAATTGAAAAATTATATGTACTTCTGATTTGTAGAAAGAACTAATTATATTTTGAAGATTTTACTGATTCTTAAACATATTGATTCAATAAATTTTGAATAAATAATATTCAACAGGCTTAATATTATACATTTTCAACATAAAATTATTTTGTTGATGTTATAATATTATCTTTTAGTTTTAATAAATTTTTAATTTGACAAATAAATTAATGTATAAATTACATTAATCATTTATAACTATTAATATTAATAATGTTAATGTATAAATATAAAACATTTAAAGCACATATAAAGATACAAACTCATACAAATTAGAATTCAAACTTTGAATATAATTTACAAAATACACAATTTTCATTGTTTTGTTTAGGATTTTACTTCAGCCCTGATGAGCCAACAGCATTGATACAAACAGAAGGTGGTCCTTGTGCAGTAATAGCTCCTGTCCAAGCTTTCATTTTGAAAGAGTTACTTTCTGAGACTGATGTTTCAACATGGAAAAATATTAATTTGGATACGTGTTACCAACTCCTCGTACGAGCTTCTATAGAGATTTTGAAGCAAGCAGCTGGAGAGAAAGTTCCAAAGTTTTGTATTGTATTTATGGATTGTAAATTTTCGAATGAGGATAATGGAAGAAAAGCCAAGTGGGTAGAGAAAATACCAGAGGTTGAAAATCGTGAAGAAGAAATAAGTGTGGCAAATAACGAAAATCAGGAAACAAATAAAAAGATATTATTGATGGAAATGAATGAAGAATGCAGAACCATAGATTCTGATCTTTTTCATTCTCAATTGAGGTATGTGTTCTAATATATTATCAAATTCGTTTTTTCGTAAAAATGAATATTTTATTTTAGGTTATTTACAACAAATACCTCTGAACATGTGGAAGAATTTTTTTCAGAAAGGTTAGAGATGTTAAAAGATAGATATGGAATCTTATTGCTTCTTTATAGTGTAATTGTTACAAAGGGTGTTACTGAAATTCGTTCAGAAATGTCAGATCCCACAGAATCAATGATTGATTCAACATATGGTTATGGAAATCAGAGTCTTATAAATTTGATGCTCACTGGAAGAGCAGTCAGCCATGTGTGGGATCATGATCAAGATGTTGGAGGATTGAGTAAGCTATTCTTATATTCTACATCATTGTATTATATTTAGTAAGTAATTAATATTGTTTAACAAGAAGCATCACTTGATTAATTTACTCTAATTGTGATAAAACTGAATATCTTCTTAAAATATTTTTTTTATCATTATTGGTTCTACAGTGTTGTCTCAGTCCAATAATTTAAATTAATTTTTATTGTATTTAATGTTATAAATTGTTTGCAATGTTTACAATATCAATTTCAGAATTGCGTGGGATAGATAAACAAAATCCTATCGGATTTCTTGCTCTTCTTGAACATCTATGTTACTGTGAAGTAGGAACTTTCTTAAAATCTCCCTCGTATCCTATTTGGGTATTGGGTTCGGAAACTCATTTGACTGTGCTATTTTCTACTGAAAAAAGACTTGTGAGTCCTGAAACACCTGCAGATCAAGCGAAAAGAGTTTTTAGAAAATTTGATCCTGAAGGAAATGATTTTATTCCTGCCAATTTATTACAAGATGTTCTTGCTGAACTTGGACTTGTTACAGATACAAATTGGTAAGTATGAAATATACATTTCACATTATATAAACCGAATTGTTATATGTTTTTGTTAAAGTGTCAATATAGTGAAGAAAAAATTGGACACTGAAAATTTGGGAATTATTCTACGTACTAACTTCATGGACGAATTTTTTCCTGAAGAACCACGAACATGTCCGGATACATTTCCATTGTACCATTACAATGGTCTCCAACATAGTAATCCAGAAAATAAAGTTATTTATCACAAAGGTCAAGCAGTGTTGTTGGAGTGCACTATTAAGGGTATTATGGAAAGTAATCCTATGTTAACAGTACTTCAAACAAAATGGCCCAGAATTGAGATTCAATGGGATATTGGCCAAAATCCGAGCCTGAACTAATAAATTCTACTGACACTTTATTTTCAGTTATATCATTGAAGTTGTTGTACAAGAAAATAAGTAACAAAATCATTAAATAGTTTGAGGAGTACTTAAATTTAACAAAAGACATTTTTATGTTTATGAGAATATTAAACAAAAATCTTTAGAGGAAGAATTAAATTTAAATAAAGAAAATTTTTCTGAATACATGTTATGTTAAATTATAATAATTCAATAATTTTACTAATTATTTATGTTAGAAATCAAATTTTTTCATTTTTTTAGAAATGATGTGAGATTTAAGTATATTTTAAATTGGTTTAGAAATAATTATTCAACATATTACTAAAAATTTCAAGAACAGGCATGTAATTATTTGATGTTGAAATTAAAAAAACTAAAACGAATTTATTAATAAATAAAAAGAAGAGGATGTGCAAATGATAAGAAGAAACAATAACAATTGCACGTGAAATGTAACAGAGAAAATAATAATAATGTAGTAAGAAAAAATGTGAATATTCAGATAAAAAGTATAACAAAAAGTAGTGTAAAAAAAGAACAATTCAAAAAATAATGTACAAATCTATGTAAATCGTATCCATGGCTAAATGTATAGTTAGATCAAAGTTATAATCTAGTCATTGTATCGACATTCTAATAATATTTTGATTTTTTTGTCGTTCTTTTTCTTACATTTAATAAGGGAAACATGTAATACTTGTGTTGTCATTTTCTCTCAAATTTTGCTAAAAATCAGATATAATAACATTCTAAACAGATGGGGCACACTGTACAGAATGAAATGAAAAGAACATATTGGAATTTCTACATTCTATACAGGTATTTATAAATATGGTTGAGACCATAGATGAATGACGTTAACGAAAAAACAAATCAAGTTACATTTCAGAATTTAAATTTAACTCTATAATATGATTTGTTTTTTATAGATACATTTTTATGATTATATGTTAACACAGACATTAATCTATATTATATTATAACTATTATTATATTTATTGTAATTAAAATAATTGAAGTGAACTAATTTTTTTTTTTAAACTGATATATTCCGTATATATAGGATATTCCGAACACAAGCGAATAATAATATTAAAAATAAAAGAATAGCAAAAACGAAAATGTGTTTATATTTTATGAACATCTTGTAGTAAAATATTTATACAGATATAACATTCTTAATTGCAAGAATTGTTAATGTTATTACAAATCTTAGAATTGCTTTTTTTTTTACATGTTAACGGATATCTTTTGAAAAAATGTTTTAAAATTTTTAAATAATGCGTTCTATGTGTTTAGGAAGTTATTATACTGGATATTTCCACTTTATTGTCTAAAATATTGTCTCATTTCCAATTGTTTATTTAATGTGCCATTGTGTTAGCATGTACTTCCAAAAACTTAAAAGTGGCGACATCTGGAGCATCAAAGAGAGAGTCAAGTGAATTGTTCTTTTGATATTCCAGCCTTATATTTTCTTCTGTTTTTGACTTATTTACTTAAAACGTATAACATTCTTCTGCGTTTTTTCTTTGTAGTATATATGTTTCATCTCATTTGTATATATAACATACATAATATTGTATTATGCAGCTTTTATTCCTTATTAATTTCTACTTTTCTCTCCAACCATTTAATTTAGTCATGATATTAATTATGATTATTTCTTTTTAATTCCTTTTTTTCTTCATCTTTCTTACTCTTAGTAGCCTTTATTTATCATAAATGAAATTCTTAAACTTATTATTATTATTCTTCAAATTTATTATTAATATTACCATCATTCTTCAGTTTCAATATTTTTTTTTTATGTTTAAATACTTCTTCAGCTATTATTTTTATTCATATATAAACTTACCAAACTTACATTTTGTTTTAGGTATTTTATCTGCTATTTCCACATTTTTTCTTCTTTAAAATCCTTTTTTTAAAATTTATTTTTCATTTTATGTATTTCTTATTTGCATTTTCTACTGACAATGAATTGTTGCTTTAATTTTCAAATCTCTTTCTGTATCTTTTTATTTCTCATAATTAACTGCTTTGGCATTCTTGCCAAATTTTCTATTAAATACTCATCTTCTGAATTAGAACTTCTATCTTCTTTTCTTCTCTCTGTGAATTTGCTTTTTGATTGTATTTTAAAAATCATTGTTTTCTTTCTTCTGTTTTCTTAAGGTCTTTCTCTTTGCTGATTTCCTTTTCATCACTATTTTCCTTTAAAATATAACTTACATTTCCTGATCTTCAGCTTTCTTTATCTTTTTTTTTATTATTTCAATTTTTCTTCATTATGTTTTTACTATGTATTTGCTATTTACATAATATACATATATATTTGCTACTTTTATCTGTATTAACTTATGCAGATCAACAAGTTTATTAAACAATATATTATTTAAATAATTATTTAGATAATAAAAATAGCTATTTTCCAATAATGTCTGAGATAATAGAACAATGTAAAATAATTGGTATTTAATAATTTGATAAATGAGATATAATTTATTACTATTATTATTATTACTAACTATTATTTTTCAATATTTGTTATAACAATTCATTGAAAATGTATTTGAAAATAAATTACACTACATTTTGCATAGTTAATAAAAATTTTATTTAAATTATCCGCCAAATATATCATTTTTACTTCTTCTGTGCAAGATGTCGTTCTTATCTGAAAGAGAATATCCGGCTGAAAGTTTCAATCTGTATTGTATGACGTGGCTTATAAAACAGCACAGTTTCAAGACTCCGTGCCTAGCGATGGAGATGTATTTTCGGTAAATACTATTGTGCTCACAACGAAATGTGTTTTTGAAAGCGTGTGAAGAAAGTGTTGTGATTAATCTTATTTTAAGAACTTTCTATGATTGATATATATTCTGGTAAGTTTGTTATCCTTATTATATATTATATATATACTTGCTCTCTCTCTCTCTCTCTCTCTATATATATATATATATATATATATATATATATATATATATATGTGCATATATAAATATAACCTTAATGTTCAGACCTTGTAAAATTTCTTTATTTTTACATATAATAATAAATAATACTTTTAAAGTTAAAATTATTAATATTCTTTACAAATATTACAAAACAGATGACAGATATATTTATTTTCTTTTTATTAGAAGAATGAACGAATCTTAATTTTTTATTATTAGAGAAAAATAATATGTATTCACATATATGAAGTTATCAAAATATGAAGTGTAAATAATCAATGCTTATTAATATATATATTCTAGATTGTAGAATGTAACATTAATATATTTTTGATTTTTTTATCATGTAAGTGTATGTCTTTATTGATCTGTTTATATAAATATGAAATATCAAATTTTAATACATTTTTCATAAGAAATATCATTGATTATTTAACTATTTGTTATATATTTTAGGATTTTCATCATTTATACCATAAACATTAAAATAATAATACCATGGAGAATATGATGTTACATAAAGAGGAACAGAAATTTAGAATCAAATTTATTGATTTGATCCATAATATTGAGAAAGTAATAATCAGTAATAGCATGATAAGATCATTTCATTTTTAATTATATGTAACTCTAATACAATTTTGAATTTTACTTGTTCTTAAATAGAAATTAAAATGGAAAAATATTATAAATTTTTTTAATCATTCTCAGATAAGATAAGAAAAATCTATCCATAACTTATTATCTTTAGATAATGCCTATTGAATACATTTTTAAAATATTATAAGTTAATACAAGTATGACTGCAAAAAATGTTACAATCTTTCTTTTTTTTCTTATTTATTTTTAAAATTATAATTAACATGTCATATACTTAGAAGAGTTGCTTTTTGAAGATATAATGAAATAGAATGATCATTTTATAAAATATATGCATTTTATATAAAAATTTGTATACTTAATTAAATTAACATTAGATATTAAAATACAGAATCAAATTTTGCTATCGCAGTTTCATCAATAATACAAAAATGATAATTTGTTTTTTTATTAATATAAACAAAATAATAACTGAAATGTTTTGATATTTTAGTTTATTTCAATTTTGACTAGAATAATTATGTTTTTTAAGCATTAATGAAAAAGAGCCTGAAATCTGTCATATTGACAGATTCAGTTGTTCTAATTCACACCGATGAACTTGGGAAAATAGATTAATTAGGATGAATGGGAAATATGTCATACAAATTTCATAACCTTTCAAGTTAATCATTTTGTGTTAAGATATGACTGAATTCCTTAAAAAAATTTTGTAAGAGTAATTAAATAAAAATGGGCAATCAAATTAATTTTATTTTCATGCCAAAATTACTTTGTTAACATTGCATTTTTTATTTTTTACATATTTGTAAATTTGTTTCATTTCATTTTGTTTTCACATTAATTAATAAGTCCATCAGATAACATTTAAGTTCATTTTATTTCATGATGCTTATAATGCTGAAAAATGAAAAAGAAGTGAATCGAATAGAACATTACCTCCACTTTCTACTCTTGCATTCTCCGATTTCAAATGACAGCCATACTACCGGAAGTAAGCAATTGTTACGTTGCAAACTTGCTCACGTGTGTGCAATCTAAGAATTACACCTATATTCGCAAAATATTTAAATAAAATCGCACATTTTGCGCTAAAAATCAATCGATGTATAATAAAAAAAATAAATTATATAATTTGGGATTAATTCATATTTATATCTATATATATCTAATGCATTAATAAATATGGAGCAAATATTTCAATGCAATTGGACGTAAATTGGAAGAAAAATTATTCTATATTTTATTTTATGTATGTCTATTATTATTGAACATTTTCGTGAAATTAATTTCGTTATTTTGAAAATAATTTAGTTTATCATATAGTAAACGTTATGTAATGCAACGAAGAATACAAAGCACATTTAAGAAAAGGAAAGATTCATTTTATGCACATTAGATAGGCATAATTAACATTTCATCATGTGCGTATATGAGGGCGGAGGGAAAAAGAGGGAGTGAGTGTCGTATAATTTTGTTTTCAAGAAGCGCAACGAGGTAAGGAGCAGGCAAATATAATAACTGTGTAAATATAGATAAATACAACTGTAATACATAGTAAATTATAATAGTAACAAAGTTGTCGCAGTAAAAGGGCAGACGTGCGCTCGAGAGAATAGCACGCGTTGTACACGCATAGATATTAGTACCTACACTCTGTAGGTAAAGATTGTACGTGTGCATACATATATATATATCTACGTAGGTATCACCTTTAACGGGTCGATAATTTCCAAATCTTACGTATGAGCATGTGGCAGTACGATAAAATTTCTATTATTTCGCATAATTATCTCGTATTTTTGAATAATATTCTACATATGATTAAAGTGATGGTTTCTACGTAGATCGTAAAGTTTTTATCATTTTTAGATAGACTGCCGTGTAATTTTACACAACTGTATTATTGCATTGCATGCAAGATGTTCCCTCTAACAGATATCGGTAACTGAAATATTTCCGTTTATTCTTATGATGTAAAATATCAAAGATAAAACCATTTTAGTTGAAAAAATTGAACTTGGTGTTACATAAAATTTTGTTCTCAAAGTCACGCTTCTGCGAATTCAAGGTCACCGAAGTTTGTAATACGAAATAGCATAAAGCTGATATAATTGTAAAAATATGTATCTTATTTTTAAATATTGAACATATTTAAGATCATTTTTCAATGGATATCTAAAAATAAAGTTTGCAATGATGTAAAGTTACAATATTAAAATCACATAATAAACTTGATTCACATTTATTATTTTAAAATTTATTGAGGTTTTATTGTTCAAAAATATACGAACAGTAATTACAACTAATAGTGATAGTAATAATTCTCATTCTGTTCTGAATTAAGACGGGAACCTGTCATCCGTTCTATTTGTATAACTAATTCTGTCGTTTAAGTTTACTTGTCAGTCAATAGATTATATAAGATTTAATTTTTACCTGTGTAATTTATTTTTTCTTTTTATTAATAACTAACTTCATAAATAAATTGTATCATTAAAATAATAAGAATATACTTTTATTTAAATAAATTTAGGTGACCTTGA